AACATGTTAAATTGTCAAAGTATAATGATGACTTGTGCAAATGACATGGTAACTTGTCAAAATGTAATGATGACTTGTGCAAACGACATGTTAACTTGTCGAATTATCGTGATGACATGTGCAAACAGCATGTTAACTTGTCAAAGTGTCATGATGACTTGTGCATACGGAAGCTTGTATGTACCCCCGCTATGAAGACATGAAGTCGTCTCCCTCGACTTATAGAACACAACAAGTCGTCAAAATTACGACGACAAGTTTATATATACCATGTCATTTTACAAAATATAGGTCATCATGTCGCGATACGGCATCCCGACTTTCATACATTAATATATTTGTCGCCTAGAAGTAACATGGAGGTCGACATACATGTTATTTCAAGCCGACAAGTATATTTATGTATGAAAGTCGGGATGCCGTATCTCGACATGATGACATATATTTTGTCAAAATGACATTGTATATATAAACTTGTCGTCGTAATTTTGACGACTTGTTGTGTTCTACAAGTCAAGAAAGACGACTTCATGTCTTCATAGCGGGGGTACATACAAGCTTCCGTATGTGCAAGCGCCATGTTAACTTGTCAAAGTATAATGTTGACTTGTGCAAACAGCATGTTAACATGTCAAATTACCATGATGACTTGTGAAGACAACATGTGAACTTGTCAAAGAATCGTGATGACTTGTGCAAACAACATGTTATCTTGTATTATGCTGACATGTCAAAACGTGCTATTAACTTGTTAAAGTATCATGATAACTTGTGCAAATACCATGCTAACATGTCAAAATTCCATGATGACATGTGCAAACAGCATGTAAACTTGTCGAATTATCGTGATGACATGTGCATTTAGCAAGTTAACTTGTCCAAGTATCATGATGACTTGTGCAAACGACATGTTAACTTGTCAAAGTATAGTGATGACTTGTGCAAATGCCATGTTAACTTGTCAAAATTTCATGATATCATGTGCATGTCAGAGTTTTGACTATCAACAACGACCTGTTGGGTGCGACCATATAAAAATGACCTTGTCCATGAGATGACCTCTGAGCTAACACCAATAATCTGTGTAGTTTAAGGAGATGTTTGTGATGGTTGACTTTATCAAATGCTTTGCTGAAGTCCATGACAATGACATCGGTATGTTGGCCTTGCTCTAGATTGTCATGAACTTCCTTGATGAAACTGATAAGCTGGGTTTCACAGCTATGTTTTGACCTGAAACCATGTTGGAAATTGCTGAGAATATCATGCTTGTCGTAGAAAGACATGATATCGGAGACAATGATGCTCCATTAGCTTAGAGGCAATGCAGGTTAATGATATAGGCCTGTAGTTACTAGGCTTACATTTTGGGCCTTTCTTATAAACAGGGGCAATGACTGCGTACTTCCAGTCATGAGGAACAGTACCAGATGGTTTTGTGGAGTAATTAAGCAATTGTATACATGACTGGTTTAGTCTTAATGGCTGGGGCGGACTCAAATTGTTTATTTAGTATATCTGCCTTCATTTTAGGATCAGTAAAGGTTCGACCGTCACTATTTAAAGGTGCTACTCCACAGTTTTCGGTTTTGTTTGATTTGATGAAAGAGTAGAACTACTTACTCTTTCCTGGTTGCGAATCATCAGAGAAAATGGCCGTGTCTACATACAACCAGTATGAGTTCCTTATTTCTAAACGAGTATTTGAAATATGCACCAGATAATATGTATGAAATTTTTTGCTATTTGTTTAACATCATTTTAGACTCGGGAATATTTCCTGAAGTATGGAGTAAGGGTATTATTTTGCCAATATATAAGAATAAAGGTGATGTTTCTGATCCAGACAATTATCGTGGTATTACAATTTTGAGCTGTTTTGGTAAACTTTTTACGAATGTTCTTAATACTAGACTCAATAATTTTTTAGAGAATAATAATATATTGTGTGAAGAGCAAGCTGGATTCAGAAAGAATTATAGTACAACAGATCACATCTTTTCCTTAAAAATGTTAATTGATCTGTATTTGTCTAAAGGTAAAAAAACTGTATTGTTCATTTATTGACTACAGGAAAGCCTTTGATAGCATTAATAGAACTGCACTCTGGCAAAAATTGTTAAGTAATAATGTTGATGGTAAATGTATAAAAATAATATATGATATGTATATAAAAAAGCTAAATCTTGTGTTCAGGTGAACTCCTTTAGTAAAAATGTCAGATTTTTTCACAAGTCATACAGGTGTTAGGCAAGGTGAAAATCTTTCGCCTGTTCTATTTTCTTTGTTTTTGAATGATTTAAACCAGTTTTTTGTCACAACATTATAATGGTCTAGTTTCATTATCTTCAGTAGTAAATGATACTCTGAGTAACTTCGATGTTGAGGTTTATTTTAAATTGTACATACTACTTTATGCTGATGACACTGTAATTTTTGCTGAAACTGCAGATGAATTGCAAAAGGCACTTGATGCAATGAGTAGTTACTGTAATATGTGGAGTCTCCAAGTTAATCCTGCAAAAAACTAAAATTGTTGTATTTTGTAAAAATGTACGTGGTATTCGTAATGCTCCTAATTTCATTTTTGAAGGTAATATGTTAGAAGTAGTCGACTCTTTTCATATCTTGGCGTAAAGTTTTCGTATAATGGTAAATTTACTAAAAAAAAGAATACTTGTTACAACAAGCTAGAAAAGCAATGTTCTCTGTAATAGTAAAGTCTAGAAGGCTGAACCTGCCTATTAGTATGCAAATACATTTGTTTGATACAATGGTAGCACCCATTTTGTTATATGGAAGTGAAGTGTGGGGAATTGAAAATTTAGACTTGATAGATCAATTTCAGTTAAAATTCTATAAACTTATTCTTCGGTTAAAACAAAGCACTCCTAATTGTATGCTATATGGTGAACTAGGGGTGCTACTTTGTCTATTCATGTTAAGGCTCATATTTTATGTTACTGGAATAGAATTTTAAATGCTAAACCTGAGAAAATATGTCATATATTGTATAATGTTTCTTATAAGTTGTATAGTGATGATAACAATGTAAAACTACCTTGGATCAATTATGTACACAATTTATTGGACTCTCTGGGCATGTCAAATTACTGGATGTATAATATACCTTCTTCACAGCAATTGTTCAAGAACATTGTTAAAACTAGATTGAGAGATCAATATTTACAACAATGGCATAGTTTTGTGGCTGAGTCCAGTAAAAGCCTTAATTACAGAATGTACAAAGATTCCTTTGTTTTTGAAAAATTATCTAGATACTTTGCCTTACCATTTGTCTAATGCTATTTTAAAGTTCAGATGTACGAACCATAGATTACCTATAGAAAAGGGGAGATTCTTTGGTATCCCGAGAGATGAAAGAACATGTCATTTATGTAATACAAACTCTTTAGGGGATGAATTTCATTACCTGTTTGTGTGTGACTTTTTTAAGCAGGAGCGTCGTAAATATATTTCAGTAAGATATACTAGTAATCCTAATACTTTGAAATATTCATTGCTAATGAATAGTACAGACAAAAACGAGCTTGTTAAACTTGCTGTTTATTGCAGGAAAGTAATGCATGTTTTCAAATGATAAACGAGGTTGTGTAATATATGTATACATTTTGATAGTAAATAGTATTGTGTAGTATAATATTATGTTTCTTAAGGCTAACATGTATTTTTATCACCTATGTGTTAGGAATGGCTCAGTGTCTGATATTGCTCAAATTTTGTCTGATATTGCTCAAATTTAGTCTGATATGATAATTTTCTGTTTATCTAGTCATAGCAAATTTGTATCAGGTCATTTGTTCATGTTATATAGCAAATTTTCCTATGTGTTAGAAATGGCTCAGTGTCTGATATTGCTCAAATTTTGTCTGATATTTCTCAAATTTAGTCTGATATGATAATTTTCTGTTTATCTAGTCATAGCAAATTTGTATCATGTCATTTGTTCATGTTATATAGCAAATTTGTATTACGTCATTTGTTCATGTTTAATATGTTGTATTCTGATGCCTCTCAGAGGCCTAGAATTTGAAAATAAAAGTTCAAAGTTCAAAGTTCTTTTTGTATTTTACCTCTAAGCTTTTTTAATTTGCTAAGCAGGTCCAGGGAAGGGGTATTAGACTGTTTAATTTTTGAATACAGTCGATCACGTACGTTTCCTTATTTGGCCAATGATTTGTGGATTTAACCAGCTGTAGATCGCGACGTACGTACTTAATTAGTTCTCTTTGAGGGGATATATGGATTGAACTGATCGAGATGGGTTAATTCATTCTTAAATAAATAAAAGCCAGTATTTTCACTGATGCTAGGCGGACTAGATTCTATTTTTTTTTAATTTCAGCCAATACACAATTTCTTGAGGAAAATCTTTCAAATTGTAATGTCAAAAAGAGAAAAATGTATATCATAAACAGAAAATTCAAGTTTTTTTTCTTAAAATACAAGATTTATTTTCATCTTGTGATATGAAATTTATCATATTTTACTCGTGGCTACCACCACTAATGAACTATTTATTTTTATAGGCTTACCACTCGATACAAATACAGTATAGATCTAATAGAAAAAACTCGAATATTAATTATATACTATAACTATGTCAATTTTTAATCTGGGACAAAATAAAAAACGGAAAAAAGTTCAAAGACTACGTCACATTAGAATACAATTATTGCAGTCGTGATAGTGTGAAATAAACATCTTATCTTTAATTAGTTCGTGTCAAGATCTGTGCAAAAAAAATTCCACTTGCTTCATCACCGCATATCATTATCATAGTCGTATACTAATTCAAAATCTACTTACCAAATTCCAAAATATACGGAATTAAACTTTACTTACACTTTGACAGATTAAATGTGCATGCAAATGAAAATTTTAGAAGTCTCATTAATAAAGATTTATATATAATATTGAATTTTACACGATAACTATCAAAATAAAGAGAAAAATAGAAATCCGTATTCCTATCACTGAGGAAAAAAATAGATATTTTCGGAAACACGTGAATGTTGTTCGTTGCTGTTGAAGAATGCCCTCTGCCTCTACAAAAGTTGAGATTCCGGCCTCCTCGGAGGCCCTGGACCCTTTTAAAAGGGTCCTTACAGTTGTCGATAAGAAAGTTCGTAACTTGGAGAAGCGTAAGGTGTGTACATTGATAGGAAAATTGCTGTTTCTTAAGTTATTACGTGCTCAAAAAAGTTGTTTTTGTTTGTCAAATCAAAATTTTGTTTGAATCGTTAAAATTAAGCAATTCGATAAAATTAGTAAAATGTTGAAGAATTATGACATTTTAAATAAGTGGAGAGCAAATATTACATGTTTTTCTTACATTTAAATTTGTTGTTTTGTAAAGACGCAAATTTCCCATAGATCTAAATAGGAAATAAATTTTTTGTAACTATGGGCCAAACCAACCACTGTTTTGTCAGAGGTTCTTCATTGTTGTCTGATCGTTGTATTTTTGCCGATACTATAAAATATTTTGGATAGAGTCATGTGAATTTGTAATTATTAAAAAAATGTGTTCCTACAGTGCGTGCAAAAGCTATTTTAATATATTGCTGCCAAATTGTAAGTTGAAAATAAAAAGCCAATCATATACACCATATGTAAAACATCACTGAAACAGTGTTGTTAGTAAACATGAAATCTTAGACCCATGAATCCCCTTGCAGAGTGTTGCGCTGGAAAAGGCTGCCCCCTTGTCCCCTGGCAAAATCTGTTGTCTAGTTTAAAAAATCGGTTGTCTCATATAATAATGAAAACCCCGAGTTCTCTTATAGAATTCCAAAGACTTCCTCTAAAACTGGCTGATAAAATTGCCATCACACATGCAGGGCTCTACAAATACTATAGCCCGATGTCCGAGACAACTCTTAATTTCTAAAACTACTTTGGACTACTGACAATAATGTAAGTCCTGGACCAGTCAAATTTTGACAGATGCCTGTCTTGGAAAACTTTTAACTTATACGATCCTACTCAGCATTGTGCTTCGGTAATCTACGGTTGAAGCAATCAATTTCAGCAATTACTATGCTGATAAATTTCACATTGCCACAAGCAATAAAAAAGATAAAACACCAAAATTTTGATAAAAATTTAAAGACAAACTCAAACATTAATGATTATTATGGACATGTAATAACTGCTATTAAGTCACAGACTCGATCTTTGAAGTTGATATATTCATAATATTATTGAAACACGCTGACGGTAATTTGTGCTGAAACTTACATGTTATACTTGCATGGGCATTGACAATTTTGTGTACTTGTATTAAATATGCAGGATGCATACTGCCAAATTACTTTCTCCTGTAGTTTTTTTTTAGATTGATATTTAAAGCTGAAAACTTATAACACTCTCAAGCACATCTACAATTTTTTTTCTTTACAGTCTTAAGTGTTAAAGTAAATTATTTGTTTATGTAATTGAAGTAGAAATTTTTTTTTATTCATTATTTTTATTTTCTGTTATTTTAAAGCTAAAACTTGATGTCCTGAAGCAGAAGAAAGATTCTGGCGCAGAACTTGAAAAGGACCAACAGGTAGAACAACTCTATAGCTGTTATTATTTATGACATAAAGATCTACACATACATATTTGCTCAGTTGACTGTTTAATGTTTCCCGCAATTCACATTAACTTCTGTCATGATGTTTATGTTAAAAGGAAAAAAATGGAACATAACAAAAAGATTATTATACAGTGTTAGCAATTTTCCCTAACTTTACCGAGTACCTGGGCCTCAGTGCTAATAGATTTGTTACATCCCAATTCAAATGGGACGAGTCTTCAATTACAAAAATTTTAATGTTTACATAACTTCATAATACAATCAAATTTGTGACTGTTGATGTTTGCGGATACCATTGATAGGTTGGCCCAAAAGGAGGCCGCATCTGCATTGCTAATGACAAGGGAAGAAATCAAAATGAGGTGAAAGTCAAGTTCTTCTAATTTAATTAAAGCAAATAGAAAATCGTTTTCAATCAGAGCAAAAAAACTTAAGAGGCAATTAACCAATTATCAGGGAAAAATAGTTTTGTCCCAGGGACTTAACGGCCCTTTTTTTTCTTTCCTCCCTGGCAATTTTAGCGAGTAAATTGATATGTTTACTCAGTGAACGCGAACACTGATTATAGGTTGTTTTTTTTTTACAAAAAAAGGCATTAATGATTATAATAGCAACAACGCTTAAGAGATTCAATGAAAAGTGTATTGTAAGATGTATAGAATTTTTTTATCAAAACTGAACATACTTGTTTGTAAAAAAGTTTGAAATTTCTATGCAGGTCTTTGTTCTTTTTGATGCAATTGAAATGTATGTATGTTTATGCAACATAATCAAAACATAATAAATATTTTTGATCAGGTTGTTTTTTAGTGACAGCATAAGGAGTGAAACAATTACTCGCAGTTATGCCAGACTACATTTTCAGAGCTGACAATTTGGTTTTTGATCATCATGGTCGTATTTTGATTCCATTTGTTGTCGCCATTTTCTTGTTAATATCTCCTTTCTTATATTAAGCAAACTGAGCGTTTCTCTCAATGGTTACATGTTCTTGTTTATACAGTTAAAATGTGTGTAATGTAAACACTATAATGTGTTGTTCAAAAATGGAAGGAAATATAATGATTAAAAGACATTCTGCTTAACATGAATTTTCAGGTTGCAGTAGACCGTTATGGAGAGGTTATACAGAATCTAGAATTCGCACGTGACCTTCAGAAACAGTTCCAATCTATCAGTACGGATGTAAGTCTTTAGCATTTTTTGTAATAGTTGAACATTACTTGAGATTTTTTTTTATGTTAAAAAAAACAACAGTTAATTGTATCTCCTTTTATGATGAAATCGATCAAGTCACCACTAGATATATTTATTTGCTATAAACACTGCAAATGTGTTTTCTGTTTGTAAAATATAGTATTAGGAAACTAAAAAGATCTATTGTGAAAAAAAACATTTTATTTGAGATTTTCTCTTTTCTGAAACTAGTAGGTAGGGTTCGAGTTGACTTTATATTAAATCATTTTCTCCATTGGGGACTTCAATTCGCTTGTTTTGAGAAAACACTGTAGATTTGTCTGTAACTTTTTTCTTGTCATTATGTTTTTAAATTGGTTCTCTCATATACAATGTCTGTATGGAGTCCATTGCTGAGTTGTAAAGGCCATTGGCTTCAAATCACTTGTCCCTACTGCTGTGGGTTTGGATCACACCAGGGACTTTGGACTCTTTAATGTGAGGAAGCTATGCATCTGACTTTCTGAATGTCAGAGGTTCTACTCTGGTGTCTGTTTGTGTCTAAAATGATACAAAGATGGGCACTTGAGGTCTTCCTTGACAAGGAAAGCTGGAAAGTCACCATTTGACCTTGACTGTCGTGTGAAGTAAAACCCAAATGATATTAAAAAATTTTGATCTGTGATATAACTAGCATTTATCTCTTCTTATCAACAAAGGTTGAGAAGTTGTTGAAGAAACAAGCAAAGCGAGGGAAGTCGGAGAAACAGATGCAGGAAGTGAAGCGTGTGAAGGAAGTTTTACAGTTACAGGGTCTTCTCGATCAGATGGGCTCGGATACAGTTCGGAAAGATTTTCAGACAGGAAAACATGGCGCAATTGTAAGTGGTATTATACATACTGTTATATAATGTGTAGAATTTTAGTTTTCAAGTTGAAATTTTAGATGTAGTTTTAAACTTTCAGTGATAATTGTGTTTTAAGCAATGTCTGAAGCAATTCTACATAACCACTTTGACTACAATACAGGTTGGTTTCTTAAAGGACATGAGAAAGTTTGTTAAATGAACGGAATAATACTATTTAAAATAACTGTTCTCTTTTTTTTGTGACAGAAAAATTGATTCTAAAACAAACAAGTTATATCACATCTTCATTAACATGGTAGTTCTGCCCATTTTAATATGATTCACTGTTCTAAATAAATTTTAACAAAATTTGCATATAATTTATGTATGTGTATGATGTTAATTACGAACCATAATTTATGAAGTTTTACTCAGAAAGCTTAAAGAAAATGAATTGTTGAACAGTTTTTTTTTTTTCACAAAATATTTACAGGATTACGAGGAAACAAAGTTGAAAATGTCTCGAATTTCAGCTTGTAATTTTAAAGATGATCTTATTTTAATTACAGGTGTTAACGGAAGAAAACCTTGACCAGTTGGACGAGTTGTATAAATTGATTAGTCCCACTCGAGATAATGAGTCTGATTATTTGGAGTCATTGTCCGAAGCATCAGAACACATCGTCTGTCTGTTAGACGCCAAGGATAAACCGGTTGTCGGAACTACATCATACAAGGTAATTATTGCATGATTTCTATAAATATCCTTCCTTCACGAGGCAAGGGATATATTGTAGTTGCTAATTATATTTTACCTTTGTTTCATCATGATCCAATACATGGCTTGCCGTCAATTTCCTAAACATAGTTTTCTGTATGTTAAAATGGACTTACTGAAGATGAAGTATATATGCCTCGGTCCTTTTAAGTGACTAAAAAGAGAATAACAGCACAACTTCATATTGTGAACTGCTGTATATACATGTATCAGAATCAAACATAGTGTACATAGCATATTCTTGCCCATATTGTGATTTTTCAGATGGAGAGGGTAAACAAACCTAAACAAACACACAGGTGTATAGCATTTTTTTACTGACCTCAAATTTAATGTCAGTAGATATACAACGTAGAACTGGAAATAAATTTTCTTGAACTTAAGACGTAAAGTGATGTTTATTCTGGCTAGTGGTGTATTGTATTCTGGCCACTGGCCAGCGTTGTATTGTATTCTGGCCACTGGCCAATGGTGTATTGTATTCTGGCCACTGGCCAGTGGTGTATTGTATTCTGGCCACTGGCCTGCGGTGTATTGTATTCTGGCCACTGGCCAGTGGTGTATTGTATTCTGGCCACTGGCCTGCGGTGTATTGTATTCTGGCCACTGGCCAGCGGTGTATTGTATTCTGGCCAGTGTATTGACCAGCTTTTTGAAGTGAAGTAGCACTACAGTTTCTTTGAATGGCATTAGTGGCCATAAGGAAACAAAATCATGCTTTCTAAACTAAGCCAATGCTTTCTTAGCATTCAAATGCACCATGTCAAGATGCTCTCCTTTTCTTTTCAGGATTTAAAAGAATTATTGGATCTGATCTCACAATGTGGTTACTTCGAGAAAGCACAAGCTACTGAAGGGGTAAAAGAGGGTGGCGACGTTGAGTTTGAGGTAGTAGAACACACAGACGTACCCGCTCCCGACTCGGAGGAAGTCCAGTCATCGTTACCGCCTGATGTACAGACTGAAGAAGTTGAAACCAAACCTGTAGCAACCGGACAACAAATGATAAATAATGACACGTTAAATACACAACCACAGGTTAATAAATCATTTTTCGATTGAAATCTTGATATTGAGTGATAGATAAAAGAAAAATGAAATAGTGCATAGTGATTGGAGTCAAATTCATTGCATTGAGTGATTGAAATGATCCAGAGTTGTAAAACTGTAGAGATTTTTTGTGTTGTTTCTAATTAGAAAGTGTTGTACATTTATTAGGGATGAAGAAAATTGATTCGGCCCTATTTTCTTTTTGTAACTTGAATTGTTTTTGTTTGTTTTGTTGGATTTAATTTAATTGTAACAATACTTTATGAGCATTTACTGTATCATTGATGTTTTTGAACCTAATAATGACAGATTATTTAAAACATTGTTGGAGAATGAATGGCCATACACCTACCAAGTGCTTGAGTTAGGACTCAAATATTACAGCTTGAGGTACATATACCAAAAACACTAGCTCTTTTCGGCTCAAAGCTATTTTTGTTGTAAAATAGGTATAAAACAAAGTTTTATATTAAAAGTACAAAAAATATTAAGAAAAAGCAGAACATAGAAGTTTTTTTGTTTATTCTGTAGGTTATCACAGCGCAGGCCGATGCATTCTTTAACACACCCGTATCATCACAGACAGTAGAAGAACAGCAGCAAGCTGAGCTTGCGGCCCTCCAGCAGCAGCAGAGACGTCCATTCCAGGAAATTGTCTCCTCCGTTCAGGGAAACTTTAACTTTCTGCAGGAATCAACAATAGAGGTCGAAGCAAAAAGAGAATTCTGTAAGGAAGTTGCATTTATGAAACAATTATAAAAACTGTTTCAGATTCTGTTTCTAATGTGAAGAGATAACTTAATGTTAATGTTTTGTTAAGTTTGATATTTTAGATTGTTGAATTTAAGAATTTAAGGTACATTGTAAACATGAAGTTTTGTACAGCTGTTGAAAGTTGTGTCATTATTTTTAACTTCAAACTATTTGCCTCTCACTATCATGGGTTTGAATCTTGCCAGGGGCTTTGTAATCTTCCATGTAAGGAAGCATTCCAGCTAGCAAAGGGAATGTTGGTGGTTCTACTCTTGTGCTTGTTAGTAAGTATCTGAAAAAATGCACAGAAGGGCACCCGAGATAATTCTCCATCAGTAAAGCTGGAAAGTCGCCATATGACCTTTACAGTGTTAGTGTGAAACTCAGACTGCATGGACATGGGAAAGGCTAATCACTCTCGGTTCTATCAGGTTTGGGGAGAATGGCAGTCATACTTTACTGTATATTTAAGGTTATTGTACTCCATGCTAGTTAAACAGTACTGTATTTTCCCTTTTTTAGCTCGACTATTCGATAAGAATAAGTAGAGCTATTGCAGTCACACGAGCGTCGGCGTAACCACTTATGTTAAAGTTTTTGTAATAGTTCAAATATTTTCAAAGTCCATAGACATATGGCTTTGAAACTTTGCACACTTGTTCACCATCATGACCCCAACCTGTAGACAGGAGGAAGTAACTCTATCAAGCATTTTGACAGAATTATGCCCCTTTTTCGACTTAGAATTTACGTTAAAGTTTTTGTAATAGTTCAAATATTTTCAAAGTCAATTGACATATGGCTTTGAAACTTTGCACACTTGTTCAACATCATGACCCCAACCTGTAAACAGGAGGAGGTAACTCTATCAAGCATTTTGACAGAATTATGCCCCTTTTTCGACTTAGAATTTACGTTAAAGTTTTTGTAATAGTTCAAATATTTTCAAAGTCCATTGGCATATGGCTTTGAAACTTTGCACACTTGTTCACCATCATGACCCCAACCTGGAAACAGGAGGAGGTAACTCTATCAAGCATTTTGACAGAATTATGCCCCTTTTTAGACTTAGAATTTACGTTAAAGTTTTTGTAATAGTTCAAATATTTTCAAAGTCCATTGACATATGGCTTTGAAACTTTGCACACTTGTTCACCATCATGACCCCAACCTGTAAACAGGAGGAGGTAACTCTATCAAGCATTTTGACAGAAGTATGCCCCTTTTTCGACTTAGAATTTACGTTAAAGTTTTTGTAATAGTTCAAATATTTTCAAAGTCCATTGACATATGGCTTTGAAACTTTGCACACTTGTTCACCATCATGACCCTAACCTGTAAACAGGAGGAGGTAACTCTATCAAGCATTTTTTTTACTATCAAGCACTAGGAATAGTCGAGCGTTGCTGTCCTACCGACAGCTCTTGTCTGGTTAATTTTCACATTACTATAGTAGTTTTGTCGCTTGATATAATCTATATGGTTAATATTAAAGTTGATGGTTTGGAACTTGTATGTGACTTTTGGCGATCTCATGAGGTGTGGAAGTGCAAACATAATATCCATGAGAGCCAAATGCATCAACTATTTCAAGATGCTCTTACAATGACTATTATATTCAATATTTTGACTACTTTATTAAATGCAATACTTAAACTATATTTAACCAGAGTGTAATGCCATGTCTGTCCGCTTTAAGCTCAGTGGTAAGAACATGTAATAGAAAGAGCATCAAAACACGAGGCTATCTGATTTGTACGAGGGGGCGTAGCCCCAGAGTATAAATCAGATTGCCGAGTGTTTTGATGTTCTTTCTCTTTTGTATCATAGTCAGAAATAAAAACAGGTTCCCTGATGTCACAATATGAAACCCCAGAAAAAAGGAACCAATGAACGAGCATCTGAATATGATATTTCTATCGCTTTCCCTTTCCCCGTCGTCACAATATGTAAACCCCATACAAAATGAACCAGTCGATGGGCATGCTCTGCAGTGTGGGTATTTAATATCTGCACTCCAGTTAACGCACTGTGCATGTATATGTATACAATTTAACTCTAACACATTTTCAACAGAAAGGTCCCCAAACTATGATACAATGTCTTTATAATCAAGGGGTCACTAGTTAGAACTTTGTGTGGTGCAAGTTTCTTGGTGACATTTTAGAGAGTCCTATGGTCATTTGTCTCTCATTGCTGATTTAGAAATCATGTGAGATTGGTATTGGTCTCTATTGGTTTGCCAAGAAATTGGTAATTACTGGTTAGTTATCCAGTTAGGTGGACCAAACTGTTGCGATTTAACCATGAAATGTATTGAAATTAGCATAAAACTTGTATACAGTATTGAATTCCATTTCTGTTTGATCATGTTTTTGCATATAATACATTCAGTAAATATGGAAAACCTTGTGCTTTAAGACACAACTGTTTAAATAGGGCCATTATATAACCTGTCGAAAATCTTTTATAACTAATATTATAATACTGCACGTTTGTAACGTCGCTTTTCATTGGATAATCGTGACGTGTATATAGATTTATATACACGGCTGCTGTCGATTTATGAAGATATCTTACTTTTTCTAAACAAAATGATGCTTGCTGTATTATAAATTCGTTATAAAGATTCCTGACATGTTATATGGCCCTATAAAAACGGCTGTTTGTAATAAACCCTCCCCTAGCGGCTTGGGTTATATTTACGAACAGCCGTTTATATAGGGCCATATAACCTGTCAACAATCTTTATAACTAATAATATGCAGGTACATAATCATTTATAAAGAGTAAATATATTAAATTGCATTTGGAGTAAACTTTTGTCACACCATATATTCTTTGTATACCCAGCTCCACACATGGACCCAGCAGTTGTCGCAGCCCATCCTATGCCTCAGTCCCAACAGTCCATGGGACGACCTCCATCAAACCAGACTCCGGACACATCCGGTTTACCACAGACAGGCTTCGGCAGCGGTGCAACATTTGGGGAACAACAGTCAGCATTTGGTGATCAACAGTCATTGGACTCTGAACTTTCAGTAAGCAAAGTGAGCCATGGAGGGTCAGTTGATCAAAGTGTTTACTCAAAGGCCAATATGGCCCCCACACAGGACTTCTCGGGCTCTGGTTTCACGCAGAGCAATTTATCTCATTCTTTACAAACTGACAGTTTGTTTTCGGGCACAGTGTCTAGTGGTGATTCAAATTCTGGAAACCGTGGCGTGATTGGTAAAGGTGAAAGTGGGACAATAGGACATCCACAGTATGAAATTCCCCCACAGTTACCTATGCCTCCAAGTCATGAACAACAAGCTCAGGTGAGTTTATATATCGTGTTCTTGTATTATGCTGAAAAATGTGAGTATTATAGTTATTGAATTGGCAACTAGTTTTAATTTCATATTTTTGTTTAGGTATTTAACAGCAAAACTTTAAAAGGTATTTTACTTGCAAAGATATTTACCTTTTAAGGCATGCATTGTTCAAAATGTATGAAAATATTGCTTATTTTTATGTGTATTTACTATATTGAACTATTTTGTTCCACTGAATGAAAGTTTTGATGAGAAATCTGTAGTTGCTGCATTAATTGCATATCTGAAAGTTAAAAAGTATAATTATGTATTAAACAAACATTTTAATATCAAGGCCCTGGTGTTATGTAATGTGTATGTTAAGACTAATAGAGATTTCTTATGTATTTTCCACTTTATGTTAAGCCATGTTTTAGACTGAAATGTGCTACTGTATTCATGGCACCATCAAAATGGTTAAGATATTTTACATGTTTTGTATCTCTGTGTAATATGCTACTTGTAAGGTCAGTATGGGATGGTACTCCAACCTATACTGGTCATTTGGATGGTGTCATCTATATTGTTGGGGCCCAGAAAAAAAAGAAGGTACTAATGTATTTTATAATCAGAAACTAGAATCTCCCCCAAAATGGCTCTCTATTGTTTAATTCTCAAATGTTGAAATAGTGCTATGTATATGAATACTTTGTATTTAGATGTATAGATATGATATGTGGAATTTGTATTTGAAAGATAGGCATTTGCTGTTTATTACCAGCTGTCTTGTGCTTATTAAAGGAATTAAGTTAAAAAAAATTATATAGATCAAGTGAAGCATTTGAAAAATCTGAACAGGATTATTAAGAAATTTAGTCAAAATTAATTGTAAATAGATAGTGCAATTCTTAGTCCGACTTGAATGAAAAGCGTAACAATACTTCTCATTTTCAAGTCATTTTGCACAATGAAAATTTCAAAATGTGTCCTGATTTTTTCTGTTTTTTCATCACAACCATAAATAAGGGGAGTGAAAACTTTTAAAGAAAACCCCGAATGTTCAGCACAATTGGACCTGTAACATCTTTAAAAACTTGTGATAGTGAATAATGAATCAAATGTTTGTATTTAATTCAGGACAACCAGCATCAAAGTGATCCCGAGAAGAAAGGTTTCCCAATGAATCCCAATGCAACAGAATTCCAGTCCCTTATTTATAACCAATCTGGCGAGGAAGGTGAATCCAGTAATAAATCATCAAATGATGGATTCCAAGGTATACAATCATATAAAGTGTGGTGACTGGTTGCATATATTTCATTATCACATAAGCCACCGCTTAGAGGTATTTGGTGACTGGTTGCATATATTACATTATAACATATTGTGTCATAAGCCATTGGGCAGGAGTGTAGGAGTGTAATAAAATAATGATATTACACTAGTGTAATAACACTTTATGTGGTGTAATTTGTGTTATATACAAACATAGCATAAGCATTATACTAAAGGTATATCAATGAAAATTTACTTTTAACTGTTAACCGCTCTTATTTTAGATATGAGGTAAACAGAATATTATATTGATGTAAATTTAATAATAACTTATTGAACTTAATGAATAAAACAATATGTTCCCCAGAAGCTTGCATAACATGATTTCATTCAAAATATCCTCTATGTCATAAAAGTGTTAATCCTAAGAGTCTTTACTGTTTACACAACATACCTGCTATGCCTGAAAAAAAAATTGGAAGGAAATCTGAGGTCTTACTCCACCAGTTATGCTTACTAAAGTCATGCCAAAAAAGGCCTTCCCAACTGACCTATAAATCAATCTGTGATACAGGAATGCACATACTTACTATGCAGTTTTGCTACTGGCATTGACCAAAAATGTTGGAAGTTGGATTCTTTTTTTTTATATTATAATGTATGTTTCTTCTACACAAGACATGTGTTGCATTATTCATGTTTTTAACTATTGAAGGTGGTACATATTCCAACATGGGTTATAACCAAAGAGAGCAGCGAGGTGGTCGTGGAGGATTTAGTCGTGGTCGAGGAGGGAACCGAGGCGGTGGAGGTGGCGGAAACATGAGCAACGGTTACTCTAGAGGAGGCAGAGGGGGTAGGGATAATCTGAAATATATCTTATTAAAAGTTGCTTGACATATGTTGTTTTTAGAGTCTCGAATAAAGTTGAAAGTTTTAATTTGTAGAAAAAAGTGGTTAAATATTTGAACAGGTTGACAAGTTGTAGATAAATTGCCCAAATAAAGAAAATGGAAGTGTTTTGCTTTTAACCTTTTCTGAAGCCATATAACAGATAGCCCCTGTTGCTGGCTTTTTCTATGTCTTAAGTAACCATTTTGCATATGTCTAGGCTTCTAATTGCACATGTCTTGGCTTCTAAACAAATGCTTGATGTTCAGATTGTGTACTAAAATCAATCCACGGTTTTCCATTGATTTTATTGCAAGACATTACATCCTTTATAAATGTGATATACTTTAGTGTATTCCGATCAGTGCACTGTGAATTATGTCTTTTATGTGGATTTTAACTATAGATTGGAAGATATTTTACCAAACTTTTTTCATTTAAATTGATTTTCATATTACACTTTATCAGGTAACTACCAAGGCTATCAGTCTAGAGATAACTACCGTGGTGATGGGTTCCAGGGAGGTTACAGTGGAAACAGTTACAATAATGGAGGAGGATTCCAGAAACGTGGAGATAGTAATAGGGAAGGTGGACGTGGCGGGTCATCTAGAGGTGGAAGTAGAGGAGGTATATTATTAATGTTATTACCGTAATGTTTATTTCCCATAGGCCACTGGGAGTTATTTACACTGTGTATGCAAGTGTACCGTGGACTAAACGATTTGTACTGTTACAGGGTGACAGTATTTTAACAGTATAAAATCTGTTCACATGGTCTATTTTCTAAATAAAATAAAATAAAATCATCACAGTCATTGTTAAGGGTAATAAATAACACATGGGTTTGTGAGTAATAGTAAAAAATATCATACCTTGTAAAAATACTGTTACCCGAGTGTAACAGTATTTTCCTCAGGATGATATTTTTACTGTTACCCACTAGCCCATGTGTTATTTATATACCGTTAAAATACGACCTGGATTCCTATAATAACTTTCCAAGGGCAGAATTCTGGAAGTTTTGTCATAATCATTGAGGGATCATATTGCTGTAAAATCATATCTTTTGATTTATAAATTAAAGAACTATTGGATTTGCTCATTCTTGATAAAATTTGTAAGGTTTGTTTCCACAACAGACTGTTAGTAGGACTATTACCTAATAGATAATAATAATTCACCTTAACTGGTTACATTCATAATATTTTCCCAAAAGTTTAATTATTTCCCAAATAAGCAATGTTAGTGAAAATTCTAAACAATATCAAGAGGCTAAGGCCTGTTCCAAATTAATTGTGAGAAAACACTGAACTGCTGATGCTTATTTAGCATACTGGCAAGTATTTAATACAAATGTATTTATATTCCAATCAGTCTTTGTAATTATGTTGTCCATATTGTGTTGAAAGTCAAGCCACATGTATCAATTCTTGAATTTTATCAGTATATTCTTCAAAGTATTGACGTAAAGTGTTGTTATCGTTAAACAGGTGGTCAGCGTGGTGGAGGATTCAACCGCGGTGGTAATGCTGGTGGTAGAGGATCAGCAAGAGGAACAGGTCAAGGGTTTGGGCGCCCAAACTTCAATCAACAGCAGACGTAATAATATAAAGTGTGAAAATTGGACAACCATGGCTTGATTTCAGTGCTTTTGTACACTAAAGAATTGGGAGAACTCTTAACATGACTTTAGCTTCTCTTTTGCTTCTTCTTTCCAACATTGTTAACTGATATCATATATACATTTTCATTTTGTATTCGAAACGCACCATTTTCTTCTTACGTTTGTATGTTTCTGATAACTCTCAAGTGTGCTTGATTTAATTTTAAAGATTTAATTTACAGTTTTAAGAAACTCGAATGTTTATTTCTGTTTGTTTGCGTGTTATTTCATCTGTTATCATACTAAAAGTGCTATTCAATCATTTTTGGTGGTGTTAAAACACTGTCTTCAAGCCAATATCATTCTTTTTGTTTGTTAAGCAAGTGTTTTACAACTTGTGTAGAGGCATTGAGCAAAGTGTGAACAATTTCATATAAAAAAAAACGTGTGAATTCGGCAAATAACCAGTGTATGAAGTGTGCTGTGCATGTAGGTGTGTAGAGCACTTTTCAACAGCAATGTACGGGCAAAACTCTCAACAGTTCTGACTAGTCATAATATCATTGTCTATGGTCAAAATACAACAATTCCTGAACCATTATGTCAACAGAGGGGCATTGTGGTTTTGGAAATGACCATCTTCATCATCATCATTTAAACACTAAAAAAAAGTCGTTAACATAACGTTCCATTCAAACGGTTCACTTTATATACTGGTTACACGCTGGAGTATGCAAGGGTATCGCCTTTAAGTGCAACTAACATCAAAATTTCTTTTGAACATTTTAAGTCATTTGTTGACGGCTATTATATTCACATAGCTTTTTTTCTTTACATTTATTGATATAAATCAATTCAAGACCTATGAAGTGCTAGGATTTTTTTTTTGTGTGTGGAAACAAACTGGATTGTTAACTAGTAAATTGATCCTATTACCACTTTCCATTTTGATTATACTATTTTTGTGGTCAAACGTGAATAGGATATATTAAATACAATTTTTTCATCAATTTAATTGGGACTGATTTTCCAGCCGGTCTTATTTTACCACCTTTGTTTTCATTTAAGGCTGATATTTGGAGCTTATGACTTAAAATACAACATCTGTACGCATCTCTGTAATTATAACCTGTTTAACTGAAAAGTACCTCGTTAATTGATTGTGAAAAATATAGATATAGGTCTTGTGTTGAATTTATATTTCGCTTGACTGCCAGTTCATTTTATTGTGCTGTTTAGTCGAAAAAATATAAACATGTACAGAAAAAAGTATTTCTTTTTGAACTGTGCTATACACGGTTCGCGAAATTTTATTGAAACGTGTGAATAGGTGATTCAAGTCTGTCTAGTGTCTTTGTATAGATACGAGATCGTAAAAGATGATGCATGCATACAGTTACAGATGTCATTGCAGTGACGTGCACTTTATAGCATTAGGTTGTCTGGTAAAATGTATGTTTTCAACATTTCTAATAAAAACACGAATAAATATCAGGAGTTCAGCAGGGCGGAAAGAAAAATATACGTTACTTATTGCTGCTTCTGGCTCAAAAAAATAGAAATATGTATAAAAAAAATAGAAAAAACAAGTCAAAATAACATGTTGAAAATGTGTGAACGTACATTCAATACTTCTTGAACTTTTGCCATTCATGTATTATTGGAGTTTAAAGTTTATCATGCTTTTCAAAGTTATTTATACAGTTGGTGTAATGTGTTCAGGTGGTGTAATAAATTAATAATTCATGTTAAATTAAACGGAAACTGTAATTTGGTCTCGATAACAAGATCTATATATAGATATAGAAATAACAAGGATGAAAAAGGAGAATATCTAATATATGAATGATATATTGAATTTATATTTGTTTATAATTATCACATTTAAAATGATTGGTAATTGTTTGACGAGTATTGAGTTTTAAAAGATCTATTACAAAGAAAAAAGATTCCGAGCAAAATTTTTTCTATTAGTCTTTTCAGCTAATTTGAAAAATATTATTTTGTATTCTGCACAAATTTTGTTTCATCATTTTGTAGAGAACAAGGCAGTATTGTGAGACAAAAATTGTCACATTTATATGAAAATAAATCTTGTGATGGCATATATATGTGTCCTTGTTATACTAAGGCATTCATTGATTGTAGGTCTGGAGAAAGCAAAATTGTTCCAATGCTCTTGTAATTATGTCTACCTCCACCTGTTAAGCTTGATAGAAAACCATTTCTTACAAATCAACCATTCTTATAAATGTTTAGGTTATTCATGCTGTGGACCTTGGCCTCTTATGATGACCAGAGCTTAGAGCTTTCTGGAACATTGGTGGTTCTATTTAGGTGCCAGTTTGTGCCTGAAACAATGCATAGAGAGACACCTGAGATTTTCCTCCATTTGGAAAGTTGCCATATGACCTATACTGTGATGATGTGACGTTAAACCCAACCAAAAAATTTTAACATTTCATATGCAGATGATTTCTGTAGGGGCATTCATGATTGAGTGGTTTCAGTTGTTCCCTTCAAACCACTTGCCCTCAGTGGTGTTGGGTTTGAATCCTATATGAAATTTCTGATTCTTTCATGTGTGTGGAAGCTGTTTAGCTAGCTTACCGTATGTAGGTGGTTCTGATAGGGTCAATGTATGGAGGGACTAATTGGATCTTCCTCCACCAGTAAAGCAAGAAAGTCGCCAAATGACCTATACTGTGTTAGTGTGATGTTCATCAACTTATCACTAATGTACACTATGTTAAAACTTTGTGCCTTTAGTTGAAACCAATGATGAAATTTAAGTTGAAAGGACATTATGAGGACTTGGACATGTGATACATTTAGTCTTTACTACAGATAATATTGCTATAATACAGATGTATTATTTATTAATTTATATCTCAATATTCAATATAATTATTACATATAGATGAGTGAACATTAAAGTATAGATTTAAAAATATACATTAACATTAAAAACATGAAATAACAATAAATTATATGTAATAACAATAAATTATATGCAACAAGCTATCACAAAATAACAATAAAATTCATAATAACTTTCAAAACAAAAATCTGTAATAAAACTACTGAAACAATTTAAACAAATGTTTACAAGGCTGTTGGGAAAGATAACTGAGGTTTTATTTTGTTACTTCTGCCAGATCTGAACATTTGTACATTTATGCTTTCATTTGTTATACTCGCCTCGTTGTCTGGTAGAAATTTATTGTGAGCTCCGGAATATAACGTTCGTTTCACTGGTTTTCCTGTTGTCTTTGTCAACAACCTGAAAAAGTTTTTGCAACAGATATTGAGTCATTTTCTTTGTTAGGTTTTTACGTCAATTTTGGTCATATCTTGGTCCAACCAACTAAACAGATTTCCTGGATAACTAACCAGTTATTTCCATTATATTTCTGCAAGTGACTGACTACTAAACAGTACCCTTATGATTTCTGAAGAAGCAGTGAGAGACCAATGATCTTATCCTCGATGTCTGTGATTCAAATGTTATAAAGAAATTTAGCTTTGCCAGGGGATCAAACCAGGGACCCCTGGACAACAAATCTATTGCTTTCCCTATTGTGTTAAGCAAGGTATTGTTAATGGTTTGGCAAATATAAAGCAGTTTTATTTTGATACAATGTAGTTTAGTAAAAAAATAACATTTTTCAAAATTAATCGGGAACTAGCAGTTTTTTGCCATTATTTCTTAAACGGCAACCCGGCAGTTAGTTTTGAAATAATTTTTGTTTTTTACACCATTGTAAGCAGTACTATGGATGGAATGTAACTACTGGCCATTAAGGCCCCCACGGTTACACGTCGTTTCGATTTTCATTCGTAAACATTTATGATATTTTTTACCGTTTAATCGAAATGACCATATTGCCTTACAAAATTTCTTAATCATTGCCTCACATAATTATGGATTTTATCAATTCAAGTGGTTAATTCCAAAGTAAAAAAACCCAGAAAAATTGGTGTGTACAACCCTCCACACAGCATTACCATGCAAAAATTGCTTGTGACATACATGTAATACATTTTTGGTAAAAAATGGGGATACAATGCAGAAAATGTGTGCTGACTCAATCGTGATGAGCCCTGGATATTCTTTATTTGTACATGTATTAAAAATAGAAAGTAAGTCATCATTTGGGGACATATATATATGGTGTATATAGTACCTAGAGGTACCACCGTTTAAACGGTATCGTTTCAGTTCTTAGCAATTGTGTAAATGTTTACAAAAAATTGTAAACGTGGGAGCCTTACTGGCCATAAATGTATGATGTTTGGAAAAAAAATCCTACCTTTATGTACTTCAAACATAAAATCAGAACATGGAATATGATTATTATATGCAAGCAATTAATTCAAACAATTTAATGATTTTGAACAGGAAAAAAAACATGCAAATTAAAAAAATGACAACCTTTTGCCAAGTGGAGTATCTGTAGGTTCAATGTCATGTTGTGGAGACGTTTCTACAACAGTTGTCTTCTTATACTGTTTACTTCCCTTGCTCATTACCATCTTGTTAGTGTACACTGTTGCATTCTATAATTGAATTACATTTTCTTACCATTTTAGTGTCAGTAAATAAAAAGCCATATTCAGGGATATAATATTATAAAATAGATACAACTACTATGTCTTAAAGGAACAATCTTTAAATATCTATTGCTGCTGGAATAGGAAGGATATCGAAATGGCATAGTCCGTCTTTCCTTCTATCTGGATCCATCTCTTGAAAACTGAAACTTGGCAGGAATGTATATACAAATAAGGAAAACAGCCTCTCCAAATGCCATCTAGGTGTTTGACGTATGGCCCTTTGTAACTTAAAAAGGGCATTTTTTAAAGATTCCCCCATTCTTCAAGATATATTTTTACAATAAGCTGGTTTGCTTTAATTTTAAAACAAATATAATCCTATTTAAGAGGAAGCAAATATATAACTATAGATAAACCTGATTACCAAACAATCAACAGGTAACAACCTGATTACCAAACAACAGGTAACTATTTTCTCTATAGATTATTCCAATACTAAATAAACACAAAATTAATTCAATTCCAATTTTGCTTACATCATCAATAGGTCTTTTTTGTTGTCTCTGGGCGACAGGTTTCTTTCCCATAGTTCTCAAACTCTCAAACAGATTTGAGGAACAGTTTAATGGGTTGTAGGTGCTCAATACTTCAAGCTATAGATTAAAGTAGAAATATTTTTAAACACCAAAAAATTTGACAAATTTACATAAATGTTTCACAGAGAAAGGTTTCATCAGGTTAAATTCAAAATTTGCTAAAATTTATTTAAAGGCACATTGTGATTCAGAAAGGAAATTTTTTTCTTCTTCTAGAAAGGGTAAATATGTGTTTAGCAATGTTTAATAATGGATATAAAGCATGTTAGGTAATTTTCATTGGAAATAAGTGCCCAAGTGTAGAGCTGAATGTGAACTAATTTAATGTCATAAGTGTAACAAAGCATTAAAGCATTTTGACTTCCATACAGCATACTTATCACTTAAATATTCTGATTACAAAAAAAAAAAGAAGTGGAAAAAATGAAGAAGCAAACGAGCACCGCTAGGCGGAGCATTATATGCCCAAAAAGTGTTAATTTTTTTAGTAAGGATGAAGCATTTGTAAGACATTACATAAATTAAATTAAGTATTACCTCCTTCAAATAGCAATCCTCCTATAAAGTTTGAATATTGTGGGCCAAACGGAACTTAAGTTATGCTCTGGAAACTGTTTTCAGTTTTGAGGTAATAGCGACCTTGAACTTTGACCTTGTGACCCAAAAATCAATAGGGGTCTTCTACCCAATATGGACAATCGCCCTATGAAGTTTAAATATTGTGGGCCAAATAGACCTTAAATTATGCTCCGGAAACTGTTTTCAGTTTTAAAGTAATAGTGACTTTGACCTTGTGACCCCAAAATCAATAGGGGTTTTCGACCCAATATGGACAATCATCCTATGAAATTTGAATATTGTGGGCCAAATAGACCTTAGGTTATGCTCCAGAAACTGTTTTCAGTTTTAAGGTAATAATGACCTTTGACCTTGTGACCCCAAAATCAATAGGGGTTTTCTACCCAATATGGACAATCATCCTATGAAGTTTGAGTATTGTGGGCCAAATAGACCTAAGGTTATGCTCCGGAAACTGTTTTCAGTTTTAAGGTAATAGTGACCTTGACCTTTGACCTTGTGACCCAAAGTCAATAGGGGTCTTCTACCCAATATGGACAATCATCCTATGAAGTTTAAATATTGTGGGCCAAATAGACCTTAAATTATGCTCTGGAAACTGTTTTCAGTGTTGAGGTAATAGCGACCTTGAACTTTGACCTTGTGACCCCAAAATCAATAGGGGTCTTCTACCCAATATGGACAATCATCCTATGAAGTTTGAATATTGTGGGCCACATGGAACTTTAGTTATGCTCCAGAAACTGTTTTTAGTTTTAAAGTAATAATGACCTTGACCTTTGACCTTGTGACCCCAAAATCAATAGGGGTCTTCTACCCAATATGGACAATCATCCTATGAAGTTTGAACACTGTGGGCCAAACGGAACTTAAGTTATGCTCAGGAAACTGTTTTCAGTTTTAAGGTGATAGTGACCTTGACCTTTGACCTTGTGATCCCAAAATCAATAGGGGTCTTCTACCCAATATGGACAACCATCCTATGAAGTTTGAATATTGTTGGCCAAATGGTCCGGAAACCAAATAGCTAACGGACGGACAGATAGACAGACGGACGGTCGGCAGGGGTATAACATAATATGCCCGGGCATATAAAAATGGTTAAGCTATATGGTCAGTGAGTAATCATCTTAAAATTGTTAGCATTTTTTTTTTTTTTGGGGGGGGGGGGGTGCTTATTAGGCCTTTAAAAAATATGTGAAATGTTAGTAATATTCACATAATGTTGATAATTTAATTTCACTATTACTTGGTCCATTGATTCTGCAACAATATCCTTATATTCCTGTTCAACCTCTTCCACGTGGTTCCCGGCACTATATGGCAACACAAGCTCTCGTACTGCTAAGCTCTTCACCAGAAGGGTACCATTTTCTGAGGGAATGAGCACAAAATGTCCCAGTGGCTGGAAACTGTGTTGATTAGTATTTCTTGCTTTTGAAACAATTTCAGATGGCTGTAAATATGCAATAGCAGCTTGTTCCTGTAGGGAAAAAATACAACTGTAAGGATATTATTAATGAAGTAATTTTGTCTAAATTACAAAATTATGAGAAGAACTAGAAATGTGTCCATAGGACACGGATGCACCCACACGCCACTGTTCTGTCAATCTTATGACTCTAGGTCAAATATTTTTTGGACTACATGTGCCACAAGTTGAAAACTAAAAATCAACAAAGGGCCATAATTCTGTTAAATTTGGTCGCAGCAAAAATTCCTTCCTTTACTACCATCTACACATTAAGGTTGTTAATTCCTGGAAGTTTAAGCAAAATCTGCCATCCGGTTTAAGAGGAGTTGGGTTCACAAAATTTCTACATAGTGAAAAAATCAACAAAGGGCCATAATTCTCTTAAATTTGGCCGCAGCAAAAATTCCTTCCTTTACTACCATCTTCACATTAAGGTTGTTCATCCCTGGAAGTTTAAGCAAAATCTGCCATCCGGTTTAAGAGGAGTTGGGTTCACAAAATTTCTACATAGTATATAGTGAAAAAATCAACAAAGGGCCATAATTCTCTTAAATTTGGCCACAGCGAAAATGTCTTCCTTTACTACCATCTTCACATTAAGGTTGTTCATCCCTGGAAGTTTAAGCAAAATCTGCCATCCGGTTTAAGAGGAGTTGCGTTCACAAAATTTCTACATAGTATATAGTGAAAAAATCAACAAAGGGCCATAATTCTCTTAAATTTGGTCGCAGCAAAAATTCCTTCCTTTACTACCATCTACACATTAAGGTTGTTCATCCCTGTAAGTTTAAGCAAAATCTGCCATCCGGTTTAAGAGGAGTTGTGTTCAAAAGATTTCGGGACGTACAGACGGACGGACAAGTGCAACGCTATATGCTCCCACATTGTGGGGGCATAAAAAGTTGAGCCAAATCACTTCAGATTTTTCATTAATATGAGAAAGTATGCAAATTATCAACTTGTTTCTAAATTTTTACATTTGTTTATTTGGTCGAGTTTAAAGTCAAATGGGTACTTCAGTCAAAAAAAAGTAGAGCTAAAAATGTTCCAGAAAACAAAAATGCATATTTCAATGGGCTGTGTAAATACAACATTCACATATTAAACTTGTATGCATGGAAAACATGTTTTTAATGATCCACATACAGGATTGATTAGGAAGTAAAGGTCAGCTGAGACTGCACTGTTTCTTACACTTTTACCTTAATTAGTAAAATTTGACAGAATGCCTTAAAAAGTTGCTGATTTTTCTCCAGATCTTCCCAGTCAATCTTCCAACATGAGGTTGGTTGTGCAATCATGGGCTGTAATTATAGAATTAAAGTATAATAATTGACATATTTATACAATTGTGCCATGTATTATTGTGTATAAATGTTCTGTTAAGAACAAGGTGCCATTACTTACCGTAGCTAAGATAAGCCGAGTGAAGGTGAGGTTAGTAGAGCGTTTCAAGAACTTCTACTACTATATATAACAATTATATTTAAATGTATATAGTTTATTAAATACAGAAAAGGATGAAAAACTGAATTACAAACACTTAATATAGAAAAAGATTAAAAAAACACAACAAAACAAGACCTACCAGCAATAATTTTAGCTAAATAAAAACGCTATAAAAATCCATTAGCTACAGATGAATTAATATTTTAATTTTTCAGTCTAATTACCAGTAGTTTTTTATTTTTTATTTTTTTTTTTTTTTTTTTTTAACCTGAAACAAACATGCTAATAAAACTTATAGCAATAGTTCTTAAATGCAACGTCAATAGAGCATCTAATTGCCATGAAATTAGAAATCTTATCAACCACAACAAAGAGAATGGTCAACTTGGACGTGGAATATGCAAAAAGATAGATAGATACATTATACACATTGAGACACCCAGAAATGCCAATGACATGGTCATATTGAATCAAAATCATGATAAATGGTAAACTTATGTTGAACTTCAGAATCACGATATATCTCAAACTTCAACCTTACCATCCCAAACACTAGAGAGTCACACACAGCAGTGAGTGGTACCAGACTTGTAACACGTAATTTATAGATTGGTATAGATATTCCCATAGCTTTACTTGTACTTGGGAACACCATCTTCATAGCAGAGGAGTCACAATGGACTGTCTGAAATATATATATTGTACATGTCAAAAAAGAAAAACTTGCTAATGAAGTAGTTTGACAAAATAATTTTATTGAAAATCCCCATTATGATAGGCAGTTAATGCAAAATTATCTCCAAACAGACCAATATAAGTAAGATCAAATTAAAGGAAACAATTACCATTTTGCTAAGCCTCTCAAGAATTATTTGTTCCTTTCTTTGGTCATGACCATGTTTTTTCTTATAAAGAAGAACCAATTAAGCAGGCTAAGGGATATGCCGGTACCAAATATGGCATTTATTCACTGTTGAATAGTAATTAAATAATGAATGATTTCAACATACTATTCACAAGATTCATGCTGTAACAGTAAGACATTTCCGTATATGATGTTAAAACTTACAAAGTGGTTATAAAATGGAAGCTGAGCAGGTTGCAGGACTCTCTCATGGAGATCACATTTCACTGTCAGTGGTACACCTAGAAAATTACAATTTAACCACTTAGTAAGGCTTGATATAGGTAAATAGCAATGTACATTCTACTGTTTTGATTCAAAATTCCTGTTTCAGTATTTGATGACTGAAGCACAAAAACACGAATTTTGGAAATGTTGTGTTGATACAGAATTTGAAAATCTTTGATGATAAGAGGAATGCCTGTCTCCAGTATGCCACTTAAGTGATCCTACATTTATACATTTTCAAATGTAAGAGATATTTAGGGGAGTATAACTCAGAGTAAAGCACTTTGGCCTGCTGATTACCAAGGGTGAAGATTTTTGTTTCAAAATACAATAACTGACTACTACACAACTATATTTCACTACAGGTCTTTATTTAAACAAGAGGGCCATGATGGCCCTGAGGTCGCTCACCTGTATAAAGGCACCCGGAGCGGGGCCAGTTTAAACCCCAGGGCTTTTATTTGAACAAACTTGGAAGACACCCATTAGAAGATGTTTCATGCTAAACATCTAAGCTCTAGCTCATTGGGTTTTTTTAAAAGAAGATTTTTTAAGTTTTTACTATACACATATAGTTAAAACCAATGACACCCCTGGGGCGGGGCCAATTTTGACCCCAGGGCTTTTATTTGAACAAACTTTGTAGACAATTACTAGAAGATGTTTCATGCTTAATATCTAAACTCTACCTATTTGGGTTTTTTCAAAGAAGATTTTTAAGTTTTTGCTATACAAATATAAGGAAAATCAATAACACCCGGGGCGGGCCAATTTTGACTCCAGGGCTTTTATTTGAACAAACTTTGTAGACACTCACTAGAAGATGTTTCATGCATAATATCTAAACTCCAGCTATTTGGGTTTTTTCAAAGAAGATTTTTTAAGTTTTTGCTATATGCATATAGGGAAAAATCAAAGACCCCCTGGGGCGGGGCCAGTTTTGACCCCAGGGCTTTTATTTGAACAAACTTGGTAGACACTCATTAGAATATGTTTCATGCCAAATATCTAAGCTCTAGCTCTTAGGGTTTTTTAAAAGAAGATATTTAAAGTTTTTTTCTTAGAGTTCTGCATGGAATTAAATTCTTTGAACAATTTTTAAAGGTGATCACCAAAGGAACATTCCTGTGAACTTTGGATGAAATTGGCATAGTGGTTTATGAGGAGATGTCATTTAAAGTAAAAGTTTACGGACGGACGACAGACGGACAACGGACGGACGGACGCCGGACGAAAAGCGATCACAAAAGCTCACCCTGTCACTTTGTGACAGATGAGCTAAAATAACAAGAGCTGTCCGTAAGACAGCGCGCTCGACTTTTTTATTGCTTGCCAATAAAAAAAGTTTTTGCAGTAAAAGGCAATACAAGAATCTCTGTATTTTTAAAGTGAACAATGGCCATGAGCATTAAGATATTTAGTGAAGAATTATTTTACTGAATTGTGTGATACCCTTACAGCAATGTTTATATGACATAATTTATGGTAAAGTGAACAAGTGGATAGGAATGAATTTTTTTAGATTTTTTAAGTTTTTTAGTGCTTGCCTATAATACAAAACATTGACAGTTAAGGGCCATAATTCAAATAAAATCTTTGACAGAATTACCTTCTCCTGGACATGTTTGGGAATCATGATTGTAAACAAGTATTCCAACTTTCAAATTAATATCTCAAACAGTTCAGTCAAAAAGTGGACTGGTACTAAAAACTTAACCAAGATTCTAAGTCGATAAAAGGCCTTAATTTTTAAAACAAATCCTTGACAGAGTTACCTTCTCTTGCGTACAGATGGGGGGAATGATGTGAAATAGCATTAAAAGTTTCAAAGCAATATCTCAAAGGGTTAAGGCAATAAGTGGATTTTACCCATATTCAATGTATTTTCTAAGTCAAAAAGGGGCATAATTCTGTCAAAAACCTTGACAGAGTTATGTCCTCTTGTCTGTTGATGAAGGTCGTGATGGTAAACAAGTATGGTCAGTTTCAAAGCAATACCTCCAATGGTTTTGAAATAAAGTGAGGTGGTACAAAAAACTTAACCAAGCTCAATACACTTTCTAAGTCAAAAAAGGGCCATAATTCTGTCAAAAACCTTGACAGAGTTATGTACTCTTGTCTGTAGATGGAGGTTATGATGGTGAACAAGTATGGTAAGTTTCAAAGCCATACTTGTAATACTTCTGAAATAAAGTGGGGTGGTACGAAAAACTTAACCAAGGTGTGACGCCAACGCCGACGCCGGGGCGAGTAGGATAGCTCCCCTTTTCATAGAAAAGTCGAGCTAAAAAGCACCATAACTATTAAACTGCATTTGTGAGTTTTTAGTGCTATTTAAGTTGCTGCCATCAGTCTGTTCACATTTATCAACAATGAAAAACCTAATGATGACAGAACTTCATCAGGGCAAAAAACTGACTTTTTATTTAAATGTACAGCTATCAGACAAATGCCTTAAACTAGTTCATTTCCCTAAGATACAAAACAGAAAGTGTAGAGATATTAAACAAATACTTAAGTGTTTTCTTGGCACCTCAAAACAGTTGAAAAGTTTTGATTTTTTTTCTTTTAGTCACATTGTCTATATTTTACTTACTACTGTCAAACATTGGTGGAAGAATCAAATGCATGTGTTCACTATCAGTGCCTGAATCTACCAGCCATCCTGAGAAAATATTCTGTAAACACAGGATATCTGAAATATACAACCTGAGAAAATATTCTGTAAACACAGGATATCTGAAATATATTCAACCAGAGAAAATATTCTGTAAACACAGGATATCTGAAATATATTCAAAATGAGAAAATATTCTGTAAACACAGGATATCTAAAATATATTCAATATGAGAAAATATACTGTAAACACAGGATATCTGAAATATACAACCTGAGAAAATATTCTGTAAACACAGGATATCTGAAATATATACAACCAGAGAAAATATTCTGTAAACACAGGATATCTGAAATATATTCAACCTGAGAAAATATTCTGTAAACACAGGATATCTGAAATATATTCAACCTGAGAAAATATTCTGTAAACACAGGATATCTGAAATATATACAACCAGAGAAAATATTCTGTAAACACAGGATATCTGAAATATATTCAACCAAAGAAAATATTCTGTAAACACAGGATATCTGAAATATACAACCTGAGAAAATATTCTGTAAACACAGGATATCTGAAATATACAACCTGAGAAAATATTCTGTAAACACAGGATATCTGAAATATATTCAACCAGAGAAAATATTCTATGAACACAGGATATCTGAAATATATACAACCAGAGAAAATATTCTGTAAACACAGGATATCTGAAATATATTCAACCAGAGAAAATATTCTGTAAACACAGGATATCTGAAATATACAACCTGAGAAAATATTCTGTAAACACAGGATATCTGAAATATATTCAACCAGAGAAAATATTCTGTAAACACAGGATATCTTGGCACCTCAAAACAGTTGAAAAGTTTTGATTTTTTTTCTTTTAGTCACATTGTCTATATTTTACTTACTACTGTCAAACATTGGTGGAAGAATCAAATGCATGTGTTCACTATCAGTGCCTGAATCTACCAGCCATCCTGAGAAAATATTCTGTAAACACAGGATATCTGAAATATACAACCTGAGAAAATATTCTGTAAACACAGGATATCTGAAATATATTCAACCAGAGAAAATATTCTGTAAACACAGGATATCTGAAATATATTCAAAATGAGAAAATATTCTGTAAAACACAGGATATCTAAAATATATTCAATATGAGAAAATATACTGTAAACACAGGATATCTGAAATATACAACCTGAGAAAATATTCTGTAAACACAGGATATCTGAAATATATACAACCAGAGAAAATATTCTGTAAACACAGGATATCTGAAAAATATTCAACCTGAGAAAATATTCTGTAAACACAGGATATCTGAAATATATTCAACCTGAGAAAATATTCTATGAACACAGGATATCTGAAATATATTCAACCAGAGAAAATATTCTATGAACACAGGATATCTGAAATATATTCAACCTGAGACAATATTCTATGAACAGAGGATATCTGAAATATACAACCTGAGAAAATATTCTGTAAACACAGGATATCTGAAATATATTCAACCTGAGAAAATATTCTGTAAACACAGGATATCTGAAATATACAACCAGAGAAAATATTCTGTAAACACAGGATATCTGAAATATATTCAACCTGAGAAAATATTCTGTAAACACAGGATATCTGAAATATATACAACCTGAGAAAATATTCTGTAAACACAGGATATCTGAAATATACAACCTGAGAAAATATTCTGTAAACACAGGATATCTGAAATATATTCAACCTGAGAAAATATTCTGTAAACACAGGATATCTGAAATATACAACCTGAGAAAATATTCTGTAAACACAGGATATCTGAAATATTCAACCTGAGAAAATATTCTGTAAACACAGGATATCTGAAATATACAACCTGAGAAAATATTGTGTGAACACAGGATATCTGAAATATATACAACCAGAGAAAATATTCTGTAAACACAGGATATCTGAAATATATTCAACCTGAGAAAATATTCTGTAAACACAGGATATCTGAAATATATTCAACCTGAGAAAATATTCTGTAAACACAGGATATCTGAAATATACAACCTGAGAAAATATTCTGTAAACACAGGATATCTGAAATATATACAACCAGAGAAAATATTCTGTAAACACAGGATATCTGAAATATATTCAACCAGAGAAAATATTCTGTAAACACAGGATATATATCTGAAATACACAATTTGAGAAAATATTCTGTAAACACAGGATATCGGAAATATACAACCTGAGAAAATATTCTGTAAACACAGGATATCTGAAATATATTCAACATGAGAAAATATTCTGTAAACACAGGATATCTGAAATATACAACCTGAGAAAATATTCTGTAAACTCAGGATATCTGAAATATACAACCTGAGAAAATATTCTATAAACACAGGATATCTGAAATATACAACCTGAGAAAATATTCTGTAAACACAGGATATCTGAAGTATATTCAACCTGAGAAAATATTCTGTAAACACGGGATATCTGAAATATATAAGACCTGAGAAAATATTGTGTAAACACAGGATATCTGAAATATACAACCTGACAAAATATTCTGTTAACACAGAATATCTGAAACACACAACTTGAAAAAATATATGTGAAATACAAAACTTGACGAAATACACAACTTGACAAAAATATATCTAAAATACACAATCTAACAAAACATTCTGTGAACACAGGATATATATCTGAAAAACACAACCTGAAAGAAAATATCTGAAATACTCAACTTGAGAAAATGTTCTATAGACAGAGGAAACCCTTAAAATAAACAATAAATACGACTTGAGAAGTCATGTAAGAAAAAGGGCATATATATCTTACACATACATCTTAAGTAAATATTCTGTAAAAAGTTTTAAAAAAAATAACAAACAACCCCACACACATGTAACATCAGAATTAATATTCTGTAATACAAAGATATCAGGAAAGAGATATTTTGTTAAAGTACATCATATAATTACCAGGTTCTATGTTAATTACTTCCACCAGACCAGTACTTGTGAAACTATTATTTGCAGAGTTTTCAGATGAGCCACTCGACTGACTGTTTCCTATATCATCTAGTGTCATCATTCCAGTACTAGTTATACATAATATCTCAATTCTCTGAAAGATAGTGACATAAAATAAAATAATGTTATATCAGTCATTCTATTTCATGTAAACATTCAGTAAGATTCAATTTCATGTAAACATTCTAGACATAAGGTTTTCTGACTAACTTTATTTCTATTATGTCAGTTTCTGAATTAAAATAGAGACATGAACTTACAAAAAAATAGCATAAGCATTATATAAAACTCTGAACAAGTATTCAATTCCAAAGTTTTTGTCAGGCAAATCCTATACCACATGAATAAGAAATGCTCAAACCAAAGCTGAAATTATATGATAATGGAAGTGGTTGCTTAATGATTAAGGTATCTGCCTCTCAACCCAGTGACTATTGGTTCAAGCCCTATAGGAGTCACGACTTTGTTCTCTCATATGACACCAGTACTGGTTAATTCCAGGAAATAAACAGGAAAGTGATTAAAATAAGTTGCAAGAACTTGTTCATAAGATTTTGTAAACAAAAATCATAACAAAAAATGGTGAGATTTTGACAGGTTAAAAGATTGTTTTGGGAATATATAATTTACAACTTTACTTTTTACCTTCAGATTCTCTGTATCCAATGTTGCTAATGCTGTTTCTATTTGTTTTTGAACAAGATTTGACCTCTGACATGTAACTACATGAATTTCCAACTGGTGACATATTCCTCCCTATAAATAATGAAATGTGCAATAACAAAAAATATATATAAATTTGTACCATTTTTCCTTTTACTTTTTTAAAACATTATCCTTACATTAAAGAAAGAAAATATGATCCAATAATTGATATCAAAAAATGAAACAAGAGCATGAATTACCATGAGATGCTGCCCTATATAATAGAGGTTCACAGTGTTATTTTGAAAATGTAAGATTGCCAAAGACTTAAAAGTGAAATATGACTTAATAAAACTTGATCAAAACAGATGTACTAGTTCTGGCTACAGGTTAGCCAATACTATGATGTGAAGCAAATACACTGGCCAACTAAGGAGCTACTGAAAATTACTTTTTCATTAAAAAAATGTCCATTTACCTGGAAAGATGCCTGAAGTTGTCTGCGATATTGATTACAAGCTTCAGCAAGGCACTGATAATAACACGTTGTTGGTGTTGTGTTCCTACACACTTGAATAAGAGACCTTAAATCCGATATAGCTGTCTGAATCTTCTGGAAATTATTCCTTACATAGGAAAATGGAAGCAATACCTGAAATTTGTAGGATTGTAAAATCGTAATTGTGGGTATTAAACTATTAATGTAATGAAATAAACTGAAAAATATCTTGCCAGCTGTGACAGTTTTCCTTTCAAAAGCCCTTTGCAATTTGAAGAAAGTCCCTTCACAATTTGCAAAATGCTAGCTTCACATGAATTGAAAAAGATGCCACTATTACAATCAGAAATGTCTTCAATAACTGCTACAAGATTATATATTCATCAAAATCTCAAATTTTGCAGACTGTCACCCTGAGTCTTACCCAAAAATATTCCAAATTATCATACATGTAAATTGATGATATCAGAGTTATTTAATATTTCTTAATGTTAAGGATATTATCACTTAAAACTTCACAACTCGAAGAAAAATCATGCCTGTCTTTCACAAATCAATAAAAGGCCTGGGTACCTTCACAATTAAGGAGAAATCCCTTCACAATTAAGGAGAAAGGAGCTTTGTATTATTACCTCTGAATAATTACTTATAACCATCAGACTGAAGAAAGGTATACGAGATGGACCACTAAGTGTACAAGCAAGGGAGAAAACATTCTCTAGTGTATCACATAATTCTTCCCCTACTTCAGCTGTGAATGGTGGTGACATGTCCAATACCAACATTCGAACTGAAAAAATTTAAGGTAAAAGTATGAAGTACACATATCGTAACATATAAATTGGTGCATTATTATCATTATGAAAAATTACTAAATTTATTACTGATATTTCATGATGTTAGACACTGAAATCTGAGAACCGAACTTACCAAATTGTGCTATTCTTTTTTTATGAGAAAATAAGACTTGTTCAATATGTTCAATACTCAATGCATTTGTCAAATGTAACCAAAGACCAAACCACCTGAAAGAATGGAGATATTGGTGGAAATGAGCCAAGTGTTTTCATTTTGTCGGTCAATCCCGCACAACCTAATCAATGTCATGTTTTTATTAAATTGAAAATTTCTGTGACATCTCCAAATCCCCATGCCAGGAGATTTCATGAAATGTCTGTCATTGCAAGGAGGGTCTGCGGGCCTCCAACAGGTGTTTGAAAACCCAAAAGTCAAAGCCCCTGTTCAAATGGTTTGGTGGCGTTGTAGTTACAAACAGCTAGCTAATAGTAATGTATAGTAATGTATAATGTAATGAACTAGCACAAAATCTCTCTAAGATTCTTAGGGGCGGATACAGAACATGGTTTCCTGGGGGGGCTGACATATGGGTGGAAGATTTTGACAAAATAATGCAAAAGGCGAAAATTGTGCATGTTTGAAGATTTGGCCAATATGTTGTTCATGTGACAAAAAATTGTAATTTATGTGTTTCATAGCTCATCTGATGAGTGGCAATGTATTTCCGCTTATATATATGTATACTAATATTTTCATAAATATTTAGATGATATGTAATTAAGAAAAATATATGTAATTTGGGGTGGGCTTAGGAGGGGTGTCCCCTCCCATAGAATGAGAAATTTTTTAAATATGAGGTTGAAAATGTGTTATTTCCTTGACTGTCTAGTGCAGTTTATGGTACCTTTTGGGTGGATTTACAGGTAAGTGTTTGCAGGGTATTTCAAATAGAATTCCCCTGGTGTTTAGTTATAAGCATTTACAAAATAACAGCACACTAACCAATGTATGCGACTGTTGATAAAAATAATTTCAAACACTTGATCAATTTACTAATCTGAATAATAGACGATTTTCCAAAGTAAAGTAATATTAAAATACTGCCTTTCTATTGTACAAAAAATAATATTCAATAAGAATTTTTTCCATCAATGAATGCATTTTAGATACTAAAGAGGTCAGCACAATTTAAATTTTATTTAAAATAATATAACTGCCATAAAAAGTTATCAAAAGCAAATGACCGATCAGTTCATTGAATAAAAATCTTAGTAAAACTAATTATTTAAACACGATTCATTTAATATAATCTTTATAAAACTTGCCATCTTTTTAATTTTAATATAAATAATTACTTTCAATTTCTTAATCATAAGGCTTTTGCAAAGAAAATGGGAAAACAAAGATAGTAAAATATGGTGTACAATGTAACACTTCTATTTGCCACTATCTGTGTCTTTTAATTTCATTAGACCTTTGGAAAGCAATAAACCAATCAATTATACAGATTAAACAGTGAAGTCATTCAAGCATGTTGATAGATAAAGATCTCTGCCAAGCCCCCAAGCAGGAGATTAACAACTGGATGACAGCAATTAATGTTTTGATAACGGAGTACACTGTACAGCCAATAAAGTTTGAAACTGACAAAAATATTTTCCAGCCCAACTGGTAAACGTATCTTTGGGCCGAGCTGGGGGGGGGGGGGGGCTGCAGCCCTGAAGCCCGGGCCAGGATCCGCCACTTTCATGATGATTTAGAAATCGATGTAACTACTAACTTACCTGGTTGCTTCCCAAGTAACGTTCTTTGTGTGTCACCCATGGATATTTTGTCCAACAACAGTTTAATAATGGAACATCAACGGAAATTTAGGCTATTTTCATTCCATGGAGTATTTAAAACACATCAGACTATCTATTTCCCTACAGAACGTTCCATATAAAAAGTACAACGTTGTTACAAATATAAACTTCAACAGATGTCAAATTTGACATTTGGCGCCAAACAAACAACTCTTCAAATTGGAGGAAAACAATTCTCATAAATGCTGGACGGTGCAAGACAAACATTCTTATCGGAAGAAAAGTCCTACCACATGTGATTGTTTACAAAATCTATTTTACCATAATCCTCTCTCGTACTTTGTCATAATTAGACACATCAGACAGGAAACGAAAACTTAAATACTCATTTTAGCGTAAGTTCATATTCGTCATTAACTGTTATTTTAAAATGTAATGAAATGTTTGTCAACTTTGTGCAATGTGTTTTCGCGATTTTTTCTAAATTTTTGGAAAATTTCAATCAGATTATCTTGACAGCAATTGTATGATTGAGACAGTACTAAATTAAAAGTTCCTAAAGTATAGTTACACTTTAGAAACCTGTCCTTAGCAAAATCTTTGTTTAAAACCCTAACCCATATCCATAACCCCTAACACTAAAACTAGTAAAAGTAATCCGAGTGATTTTGTAGAGAAACATAAATACATGTAGGCTATGTATAAATCATGCACTTTATAGAGCATTGTCAGGCACATTCCAGTCACAACAGTATCCAATTAACAACTGCCTCCGTGGTCGAGGGGTAGAGTTGATGACTTCTTATCCGGTTACCTCTCTGGTGTGGGTTCATTCCCGGGGAGATGCTTCGGTAGTTTAGCATGGAGGAAGGTAGTCTAGTACTGGTGTAACTCTCCAGGAACGATGGTTAGGAAACTACCCGCCTATATGACTGAGTTACAGTTGGGAAAAGGTGTAAAATAAAACAAACAGACAAGTATCCAATTAACAATGCTTTTAGAGCTTTATAAAGTGTGCAAATTATACATAACAAAAATTAACATAAAACACAAGCTTTGTTTCCGGTTTTCCATCGTTAAATGTAAACAAACTGATTTTTAGAATTCTAGCTTTCTGTAACATCGGCAAATTACTGCTTGTCCTGCCGGATGAGCATACAACAATTTTGTACTTATCCGGCATTAATGTCTTCTCGTAAATATGAGCGGACGAGTGAAATTTTTAATACCTGTAATATTAATCTGTGACAGAAAAAACTTCTCTATTACCATGTAACCCTGCCATATTTCTTATATACAAAAACTGATAATTTCTACCATCTTAAGAAGGAAGGAACATCCTTCAGTAGTAAAAATGAGTCTATATGTTAACAATTACTTTCTTATTATCAGTTTCATGTAAATTGGGATATTGACAATTGGAAACATTATAGAAGAGGATGGTACGCAAGAAGATAGATAACCGTATTAGAGTGCTGATTGAGAATGGGGTGGCAGAAAAACACAGAACAATGTTTGTTGTGATCGGAGACCATGCTAGAGATCAGGTTTGATTGATTTTTTATTCTGCAAATTTGATATCGCATCTGAGCATCTGATAGTAATGAAACATGATTCAAAAACAATCAATTACCAAACCACATCCATAATTTCTTCTCATAATATTATGCATATACTTACTACAGTCCGACCAATGCAGAGCTAATTCTTTGCGAGACAAAAATTTTAGTTATTGCAGATGGATGTAAATGTGGTGCTCTATGGAAGTTTGATATATTTTGAAGTCTTGTTAACTTTTGGAATATTTAAAACTGTTGTTATTACTTGTTGTAAAGAGGTTACTGTTGTACATTGGGCAAATCCGTAGTGGCTGCACTCTACAGATTTAGATATCTTGCCTACATGTATATCTTTGCATTTGACCATCTTGAATACATTTTAAATGGTTTAATCTGTTTAGACCAGAGTATATGAATGTCTATCATTAACATAAAGAAACTTGACTATAGAATTGTCTTAAAAGAGTTTGATTCATAGACTATTTAGATTGAACAAATAAACTTTAAAATTATTCTTCACTTTTAAATTGTCTTGTCTGATAAAGATGTATGTTAATTACTTTGTTGAACATTTAAGGTTGTAATTCTGCATCACATGTTATCAAAGGCAGCAGTGAAGGCTCGTCCTTCTGTTCTGTGGTGCTACAAGAAAGAATTAGGATTTAGCAGGTATGAAATTTCAACATCATTTTCTTCACTCAGGCTCACTGTGTTTAAACATATAAAATGATTTTAAGTAAATTTGTTAGCTTGACTATTTGAGGAATAATGGGGTTAACCAATTAACTTGGGTATCAACATAACTCTGTAAAATTCCCATATGCACGGATGTGCAGGCTGGTCTGGCTGTATACTGCTGGCAAAGGCTGATCACTTTTAGTTCCAGCAGGGTAAGAGTTAATAACAGTGAGGTTGAAAAAAAGTAAACTGTATCATATTTTATACCTTACAGCCATAGAAAGAAGAGAATGCGTCAACTACAGAAAAAGATCAAGAGTGGTAAGATCGACATAAAGGAAGATGACCCGTTCGAGTTGTTTATCTCCGCCACAAATATACGCTACTGTTACTATGCCGAGACACACAAAATCCTCGGAAGTACTTATGGCATGTGTATACTACAGGTTTGTCTTTTTCTTTTGCAAGAAACATGTATTTAATCCATAATGTGTGAGTAAGTCGCAGATTTTAGAAAGTGAATTATTTCAGTTGAGGAGTATACATGTTTACTTGACTGGCATGTGCCCCCCCCCCCCCCCCCCCAGCAGGCCAGCACTGTGGCTAGACTCATAATACAGTTGGTTGCTTAGTTTAATCTGTTTTATACTGAAATCCCTTGGAAGTTCTAATGGACTGATCCAAATTCAAAGCAGGACAAGTCTATAAATTTAGGTTGGACAGGGTTAAAAATAGCTATATGTATTCCATGTAAGCAGTTTCGGCGGATTGAAACGGCAATGGTTACCATACTTGTGCATTGTATTATGTAAAGATAGTATGAGCGTAATTTACATGTTCTTAGATGTTAATTATGAACAATTATGAACAATTGATGATGATTTATTTGTTAAATTTCAGGACTTTGAGGCAATGACACCTAATTTACTAGCCAGGACAATAGAAACTGTGGAAGGTGGTGGAATTATCACAATTTTACTCAACTCTATGAATTCTTTGAAACAGCTGTATGCCATGACAATGGTGGGTAGAATCAGGGACATTGATAAAATTATTCTGTTAAATTAATTGGAAGTTAAAATGAGTGGCTCTGCAGCTAAATTTATTGTCTGAAATATATTTTACATTGTCCTGTAATGATGAAAGCTATTTGCACAGCACAAAACCAAAAAAAAATGAATATCTTCTTAATGACCTTTAGTAACCTTGATAATATATACTTTTATAGCTTTATGTAATTGTTTTTATTGTTCAGTTTAATATAAAACTGAAGTTTTTGATAAGTACCCATGATAAAGAATGTACAGTGCTTTGTATATTTTCGCTAGGACGTGCACTCAAGGTACAGGACCGAGGCTCACCAGGATGTTGTTGGAAGATTTAACGAAAGGTATATGTACACATCTAAATATCAGAAATAATTTTGAAAAATAATTGGGTTATAAAAATGTTTATTAAATAAGTTTTTTGTTTGATTTTTAAATTGATTGGTACAAATGTATGTGTGAAGAAATTCATGAGCATGTTTACAATTTTCAAAGACATTACTTTTTTGCTTGATACTTTTGATAATAATAGAATCATCAGTTGCTATTTTGTAACTAACCACATTATTGTCATGCCAATCTTTACCAGTACACAAGCTATGTGTCATTCATGTTTCACAAACTTTTCTTGTTGATATTGGTATGGGAAGTAGAGAATACACGTCTAGAAATGTAACATTACATGATTTTCTTTCAGGTTTATATTATCATTGGCGTCATGTAAGAACTGTATGGTTATAGATGACCAGTTTAACCTTCTACCTTTCTCCTCACATGTCCTCTCTATACAACCTGTACCAGCAAAATCTCTCGTAAGTCTGTCTTTATAACATTCCTCAACAGGTTTTTAGTGGGCGTCTTCGGCCGAGTTGTTAAGGTCACTGAGGTCATCGAATCACATACCCCTCATTACTTTGGGTTCGAATCCCGGCTGGGGACTTTGGATTCTTTCATGTAAGGAAGCTTACCCTTAGCTTTGATGGTTCTACTTAAGTGTCTACTCAAGATCACTTTGTAGTAGAAGAAATTCACTTTATAAAATTATTTGTTACAATTTTAATTTCAATTTGTTGATCCAGAAACCAGTTATAAATTCTAAATTTTTAGATAATAAAATATAAAATTAGAATTATGTATGGTTGTACTTTTCAATATCTTATTATAGGATGAATCTATTAGTCCTAAAGAGCAGGAGTTACGGGACCTGAAAGATTCACTACAGGATACACAGCCTGTTGGTGCTCTTGTCAAATGCTGTAAAACACTTGATCAGGTATATATTAACATATGTGTATTCATGTACATTATCTATGTTGTACTATTCTTATGCATTCTCACTTTGATTCATGTATTGGGCCACTATTCCATTGGTATGCGATCCGTGATGTGGGTCCATCAAAGAATTAAGATAGAAAGAAAAAAAACAAACATTAAATACCAGTTAGGTTTCTGATTTTCATCTTTTTTGCAACTGAAGACTAGATGTTTTTTATCACCAGCATGTCTTTGTAATCTGTCAGCTATGCATCATACAGTTGTGGATTCTTCTGCACTATGTCAATTAGTTTTTCAGTATTTTCTTTCAAAATCAATAAAGCAATAAATTTTGTTTGAGGTATCTCTTCGTGATGAGACCTATCTGGTGACTGTCCGCTTACTTCAAAAATCGCTGATCCTGCCGTAGCTGATGTTGATGATAAACGAACAAAAGGAATAGATAAATAAATTGGTAAAGGATCACATACCAATGGAAAAGCACCCTCAGTAATGTTTTTGTCCAGCTGATTTGATTGTTTCTCTGAAAGCAACTAACTATTGTCTTAACATTTATATTGTATATGCCAAGATTTAATACTTTGACACCAGTAACCTTTTGGTGTGACCTACTTTTTCACGTATTGAAATGTCACCTTGACCCCTAGATGACATTCACCATTTTAAGGTCAAATTTTAAAATTCTGGAAATATCACCAAAACAGCATCAGTTATGAACAGATATTGTAATGTGACATTTACAAATGTATGTTTAAAGAACACATTTTTGTTAAAATTAAAACTACCTTAATTAAATGAGACTATGTTTTAGATGAATATCTTGTAAATATAATCCCAAAAGTGCATTTAAACTTTGAAGATAGAAAAAAAAAACACTGTCAATCATGGTATTAAATTAAAGTTAAGTAAACAGGTCATTAATTTAATGAAAAATTTATATACATATTTATTTTTTTCAGGCAAAAGCTCTTCTTAAGTTTGTGGAGGGTATATCAGAGAAGACATTACGTAGTACTGTTGCCATGACGGCAGCTAGAGGGCGGGGTAAATCAGCCGCACTAGGTATCGCCATAGCGACGGCTGTAGGGTTTGGATACTCCAATATATTTGTCACATCTCCTAGTCCTGAAAACTTGAAGACTCTGTTTGAGTTTATCTTTAAGGGATTTGATGCGCTTGAATATCAGGTTTGTGTCAGTTTGATAAAAAAATATTATGTTGATAAAACCAAAAGATAAGTTAATAGAGATCTGATGGGTAGAATTGTTGTATGATACCCATTTGAAATAGAAAAACTTAATATTTCATTGTGTCCTTTCTTAATGTACATTGTAGTATATACTGTCTGGAATGTAAATTCTACCATTAACCATTATGTAAGTTTAACATGAAATAGCAGATATTTAATCTATTTGCCTTATTGATATTATTATATACCTTGTACCCCCCCCCCCCCCCAATAAAAAACCCAAAGAAAACAGCACAAAAACAAAACGAAAAACAAGATAGGCATATCCACCATCTACACTTTGTGTGTACATGCATCAAGTCCATATCTTTGCGTTTATGGGTGGATTTTGAAATAATTTTGCTTAAATGTATAGCACATTGAGACAATGTTGTGCACAAGACCCAGGTGACTAGTCTGTAACTCAAAAGTCAAGGTCATGCTTTGACCTCATAGCAATTTTTTCATAAAAGTGCACTGATAAGAGTGTACTAAGACTACAACTCATTCCTGGATATATTTTGACAGGTCTTTGTTTCCAGTGTTTTATTTGAATACATAAAGAAAGACTAACAAAAGTGTTGAAATTTTGAACATTGTGGACATAAATAAAGACAGTTGAGTTTATCTATGTTTCAATTGATTTTCATCATGCCTTAAGAACACAACACTGTAGCTGACCATCAAACATATCTGTTTTCATAATCTTTTCTTTGTAAGAGAACTATAAAAGATAAACCTACTGTATATTTGTTTCAGGAACATTTAGATTATGAGATAATCCAGTCCACTAATCCAGACTTCAACAAAGCTATAGTCAGAGTGAATATTTTCAGGGAACATCGGCAAACGATTCAAGTATGTCACATGATTTTATCTTAAGTAATGTTGAAAGTTGCAAAATATAAGCTGTCCCACAGAAAATGGACATTTTTATATGGATTTTAAGGGTTATTTAAAGTAGTTGTTAACTTGCATGGTAATGATAGTGGCGGAATTGCCAAGTGGTCAGCATGTTGGACTAGTAATCTTGGGACTTCTGGCTGCATGGGTTCAAACCACATCAGGGGCAAGCCGTTTTTTCCATGAGCTAGAAACTTTGTACTTATTGCTTAGTACTGGTTGGTTTCAGGAACGGATTCAAGAATGTTTCTGAATTTAGTTGTAATTGTTAAATGTTATTATGCCCCCATTTTGAAAAAAAGGGGGTATATTGCTTTGCACTTGTCGGTCCGTCGGTCCGTCGGTCCGTAGAACAAATGGTTTCCGAGTGATAACTAAAGAACCCTTAGGCCTAAGAACTTCAAACTTGGTATGGTGATTGGTCATGACCAGTAGATGACCCCTATTGATTTTGGGGTCAAGGGGTCAAAGGTCAAGGTCACATTGACCTTGAAAGCAAAAACGGTTTCCGATCAATAACTAAAGAACCTTAAGGCCTAGGAACTTCAAACTTGGTATGGTGATTGGTCATGACCAGTAGATGACCCCTATTGATTTTGGGGTCAAGGGGTCAAAGGTCAAGGTCACATTGACCTTGAAAGCAAAAACGGTTTCCGATCAATAACTAAAGAACCTTAAGGCCTAGGAACTTCAAACTTGGTATGGTGATTGGTCATGACCAGTATATGACCCCTATTGATTTTGGAGTCAAGGGGTCAAAGGTCAAGGTCACATTGACCTTGAAAGCAAAAACAGTTTCCGATCAATAACTAAAGAACCTTAAGGCCTAGGAACTTCAAACTTGGTATGGTAATTAGTCATGACCAGTAGATGACCCCTATTGATTTTGGGGTCAAGGGGTCAAAGGTCAAGGTCACATTGACCTTGAAAGCAAAAACAGTTTCCGATCAATAACTAAAGAACCTTAAGGCCTAGGAACTTCAAACTTGGTATGGTGATTAGTCATGACCAGTAGATGACCCCTATTGATTTTGGGGTCAAGGGGTCAAAGGTCAAGGTCACATTGACCTTGAAAGCAAAAACGGTTTCCGATCAATAACTAAAGAACCTTAAGGCCTAGGAACTTCAAACTTGGTATGGTGATTGGTCATGATCAGTAGATGACCCCTATTGATTTTGGGGTCAAGGGGTCAAAGGTCAAGGTCACATTGACCTTGTAGGTAAAAACGGTTTCCGATCAATACCTAAAGAACCTTAAGGCTTAGGAACATTAAACTTGGTATGGTGATTGGTCATGATCAGTAAATGACCCCTATTGATTTTGGGGTCAAAGGTCAAGGTCACATTGACCTTGTACATAAAAACGGTTTCCGATCAATAACTAAAGAACCTTAAGGCCTAGGAACTTCAAACTTGGTATGGTGATTGGTCATGATCAGTAGATGACCCGTATAGATTTTGGGGTCAAGGGGTCAAAGGTCAAGGTCACATTGACCTTTTAATTAAAAACGGTTTCTGATCAATAACAAAAGAACCCTTAGGCCTAGGAACTTCAAACTTGGTATGGTGATTGGTTATGACCAATCAGATGACCCCTATTGATTTTGGCGTTAAGGGGTCAAAGGTCAAGGTCACATTGACCTTGTAGGTAAAAACGGTTTCCGATCAATAATGAAAGAACCCTTAGGCCTAGGGACTTCAAACTTGAGATGGTGATTGGTCATGATCAGTAGATGACCCCTATTATTTTTGGGGTCTAGGGGTCAAAGGTCAAGGTCACATTGACCTTGTAGGTAAAAATGCTTTCGGATCAATAACTTAAGAACCCTTATGCCTAGGAACTTCAAACTTGGTATGGTGATTGGTCATGACCAGCAGATTACTCCTATTGATTTTGGGATCAAGGGGTCAAAGGTCAAGGTCACAATGACCTTGTAAGTAAAAACGGTTTCTGATCAATAACTCAAGAACGCTTAGGCCTAGGAACTTCAAACTTGGTATGGTGATTTGTCATGACCAGCAGATTACTCCTATTGATTTTGGGATCAAGGGGTCAAAGGTCAAGGTCACAATGACCTTGTAAGTAAAAACGGTTTCTGATCAATAACTAAAGAACGCTTCGGCCTAGAAACTTCAAACTTGGCATGGTGATTGGTCATGACCAGCAGATGACCCCTATTGATTTTGGGGTCAAAGGTCAAGGTCACATTGACCTTGTATGTTAAAACGGTTTCCGATCAATAATAAGAGAACCCTTAGGCCTAAGAACTTCAAACTTGGCATGGTGATTGGTCATGACCAGCAGATGACCCCTATTGATTTTGGGGTCAAGGGGTCAAAGGTCAAGGTCACATTGACCTTGTAGGTAAAAACGGTTTCTGATCAATTTACTAAAAACGCCTAGGCCTAGGAACTTCAAACTTTGTATGATGATTGGTCGTGACCAGCAGATGACCCCTATTGAGTTTTGGGTCAAGGGGTCAAAGGTCAAGGTCATGACCAATAGATACTTTATAACCCTTATTAATTGTTTGATCACTGGGTCAGACGTCATGCATAATAACCTTATCACATGACTAATTGGCTGCTGATAGGGGGCATACATGTTTTACAAACATATCTTGTTTTTGTTATACTTTGATATTTGGTTGTTTGTGTAATACATGTTTATAATGTTAAGTTGAAGAGCAATAAACACATCAAAATTTTTATCTATAATTTTTATTACATCTTACAATGATATATTTCAGTATATACACCCATCAGATTCACATAAATTGGGTCAGGCAGAATTAGTGTGTATAGACGAGGCAGCAGCTATACCCCTCCCACTAGTTAAAAACCTTCTTGGACCATACCTTGTGTTTATGTCCTCTACAGTGAATGGGTGAGTTATGAAGTCTATTGATAATGAATATTGATTTATAGATCATTTACTGCTTGGACTGCTAATGTTGATAATTACTGACCTTTGTGACACATATAGAGCTAGTCTAGGCCAGCCTGCCTTAACATATAGTGTGTGAAGGTTCTGTACTGTCGTATGCTTCATTTAACTACTTTAACATGGAAATGCCTCTATATTGAATGTCTTGCAAAATCAGTTTATAAATTTCGAGATTTTTTTTTTTTTCAGCATGTGAAAGATGTTTTGATATCTTATTTAACAAAAATATTGTATGAATAAGTTTATCAATTTACCAATTTGGCTTGAGTCAACAAAAACAATTTCTTTGGAGAATTATTGCCATGTCTTAAGATGTTCTTGATCAATTTTGCAATGTAGATTTTAAGTGGTTCAAGATGATCATAATTATTTTAAATATATCAAACTTTCAAATCACGGTAAATTCATGCAGATGACAAATGTTTATCAATAAAATCGCCTGTCATAAATTTTCTATGAAAATATTCTTGAAGTTCTGTTTATTCTGATTAATAGGTACGAGGGCACAGGCAGATCATTGTCTCTTAAACTAATTCAGCAACTCCGGCAACAATCCTCGACTTACGGAGGAGTGACATCAGAGGTGAAAAAAACTGTTTCTATGGCAACAAAATCTGAGGGAACATCGTCATCATCATCAGGCAGGATCCTGCAGGAAGTTGTGCTGAACGAATCAATCAGATACGCTGATAAAGATCCAGTCGAAAAGTGGTTAAATAATTTGCTTTGTTTGGATGCGACAGATGTACCGAGAATATCTTCTGGTTGCCCGCTACCGGAACTTTGTGAATTGTATTATGTAAACAGAGACACTCTTTTCTCCTATCATAAAGCATCAGAGGCGTTCTTACACAGAATTATGGGACTATATGTGTCATCACATTACAAGGTGAGTACTAGACGTAAAGGGACATCCATGGCTGAATGGTTAACATCGTTGACTTTATACCATATGCCTTTCCTGGCAGTAGGTTCAAGCTGCTCCAGTGTCTTTGGATTCTTCATGTGAGTAAGCTATCCAGCTAGCTTACAGAACATTGATGGTCTTACTAAGGTACCCCTTCATGCCTGAAATAATGTATAGAGGGGCACCTGAGGTCTTTGACCACAAATAAAAACTGGAAAGTCCCCATATTTGAATTTATATAAAGAACAAAACAGTAGTTGAGATAAACAAGTGACAAAGCTATTTATTATGCCCCCATTTTGAAAAAAAGGGGGTATATTGCTTTGCACTTGTCGGTCCGTCGGTCTGTCGGTCCGTCGGTCCGTAGACCAAATGGTTTCCGAGTGATAACTAAAGAACCCTTAGGCCTAGGAACTTCAAACTTGGTATGGTGATTGGTCATGACCAGTAGATGACCCCTATTAATTTTGGGGTCAAGGGGTCAAAGGTCAAGGTCACATTGACCTTGAAAGCAAAAACGGTTTCCGATCAATAACTAAAGAACCTTAAGGCCTAGGAACTTCAAACTTGGTAAATATGGTGATTGGTCATGACCAGTAGATGACCCTATTGATTTTGGGGTCAAGGGGTCAAAGGTCAAGGTCACATTGACCTTGAAAGCAAAAACGGTTTCCGATCAATAACTAAAGAACCTTAAGGCCTAGGAACTTCAAACTTGGTATGGTGATTGGTCATGACCAGTAGATGACCCCTATTGATTTTGGAGTTAAGGGGTCAAAGGTCAAGGTCACATTGACCTTGAAAGCAAAAACAGTTTCCGATCAATAACTAAAGAACCTTAAGGCCTAGGAACTTCAAACTTGGTATGGTGATTAGTCATGACCAGTAGATGACCCCTATTGATTTTGGGGTCAAGGGGTCAAAGGTCAAGGTCACATTAAGCTTAAAAGCAAAAACTGTTTCCGATCAATAACTAAAGAACCTTAAGGCCTAGGAACTTCAAACTTGGTATGGTGATTGGTCATGATCAGTGGATGACCCCTATTGATTTTGGGGTCAAGGGGTCAAAGGTCAAGGTCACATTGACCTTGTAAGCAAAAACGGTTTCTGATCAATAAATAAAGAACCTTAAGGCCTAGGAACTTCAAACTTGGTATGGTGATTGGTCATGATCATTAGATGACCCCTATTGATTTTGGGGTCAAGGGGTCAAAGGTCAAGGTCACATTGACTTTGTAGGTAAAAACGGTTTCCGATCAATACCTAAAGAACCTTAAGGCTTAGGAACATCAAACTTGGTATGGTGATTGGTCATGATCAGTAGATGACCCCTATTGATTTTGGGGTCAAGGGGTCAAAGGTCAAGGTCACATTGACCTTGTAGGTAAAAACGGTTTCCGATCAATAACTAAAGAACCTTAAGGCCTAGGAACTTCAAACTTGGTATGGTGATTGGTCATGATCAGTAGATGACCCCTATTGATTTTGGGGTCAAAGGTCAAGGTCACATTGACCTTGTAAGTAAAAACAGTTTCTGATCAATAACAAAAGAACCCTTAGGCCTAGGAACTTCAAACTTGGTATGGTGATTGGTAATGACCAATCAGATGACCCCTATTGATTTTGGCGTTAAGGGGTCAAAGGTCAAGGTCACATTAACCTTGTACGTAAAAAGGGTTTCCGATCAATAATGAAAGAACCCTTAGGCCTAGGGACTTCAAACTTGAGATGGTGATTGGTCATGATCAGAAGATGACCCCTATTGATTTTGGGTCAAGGGGTCAAAGGTCAAGGTCATGACCAGTAGATACTTTATAACCCTTATTAATTGTTTGATCACTGGGTCAGAAGTCATGCATAATAACCTTATCACATGACTAATTGGCTGCTGATAGGGGGCATACATGTTTTACAAACATATCTTGTCTACTTATGTAGAGGCTATGTGTTAATTTGCAGGTTTGAATCTGTATCTACATCAGAACAGTAAATGAGATTTACAAAATATTTGTAAAAATGATGAAATGATTGATAAAAAAAAATTAAAATTTTACATCCAATTTCTTAAGTATTTTTTACAACTTTCCATGTTTCAGTAATTCTTTTTCAGTGGTGAAAGTTTGTGTTAAAACTTTTAAAGTATATTCCTTACAATTTCACCAATTTTATTAAAGGGGTAATATATCCAAAGTTACTGCCCCTGATTTTTAAGCGAGCTATTTTGATTTTTAACTTTCTTTATTAGGATTTACAATTGTTAGATGAATTCTCTGTATAAATAATTCATGTTTTTGTATACTTCTATTATAGAACACACCAAATGACTTACAGCTGTTGTCAGACGCCCCAGCTCACCATATATTTGTACTGCTGGGACCTGTAGATCCTAACCAGTCAGCCTTGCCAGAAGTTCTCTGTGTACTTCAGGTAATTATCAGACGTTTAACCATTACCCTGCTGGAACTGTAAATGATATGCCTTTACCACAAGTATCCTGCCAGGCCATCCTCACCAGAATACGGCAGGCCGTACTGTACATCAAATTTAGTATTTTGATATTGTAATGGGTGTGATTTTATGGACACTGGATATGTAGTGCAGATTTATTTGATATCAATTTTTTCTGTAACTTTAATTTTTAATGTTAAATGCAGAATCTTCAATTTATCTGTAGGTATGTTTGGAAGGCGAGATTTCAAAGTCTTCAATTATAAACAGTCTATCTCGTGGGAAACGTGCGTCTGGAGATCTCATTCCATGGACAGTATCGCAACAGGTTAGTTCACTATCAAATGATGATGAGAAATATAGATTTGTTTAGTTAATAAGTATCTAGAAGGTAGTTCAGCATGTTAAGTTATGGATAGAAAGTAAAGGACCCTATTGTATAAATTTTTTAAAATGACAGCAGTCATGGAGGTATTGAAGGATTCCATCTGTTTCTGGTCTGCTTATTAAAAGTATAACTGTCCTAAGGCTGAGAGAAATCTGATTATTTTAAACTGAAATTTTAGGCTCAATCCATGCTTTCTTAGAAGACTTCTTTCACTGACAAAATCTTTATGTCCGAATGATCAATTCGATTATGTTTCAAAATAGAAATAAAATCTAGTTTCTGTTATTTATTAACATGTTGTATTATATGTAGTTTTGTTGTATTAGCAATAGTACCTTACTGAATTAGAGGATGGCAAACATTTTTCTGCGTACATTAGTTTCAGGACCATGATTTCCCGAGTCTGTCAGGAGCTCGCGTTGTTAGAATAGCCACACATCCGGACTATCAGGGGGTAAGTTATTTTGAGTGTCAATATTCATATTATGAACATGTACAACGCTTGTTGATCAAGTGTAGTGGTTACATTGTTTTATAAGGGAAGTAGGTTCACAATTTAATTTTAAGAAGCATATCTTATATAATGAACTTTAAAGCCATTTAAATGCTTTTCTATTTTAAATCATAGCCAATACTATAAATTCTATAAAGATCATGCTGAGGAAAATGTGAACAAGATTTCGGCAAACCGAGCAAAGTGAACACAATGTTACTATTGGCAATTAAAATTCCATTAGTGATCTCTTGATTTAGAAATACATTAATTTTATGATAACTTAATATAAATACAATTCATTCTTCCAATATGCATGTAGAAATAATTTCCATACTATAACATACTATGGAATTTTAAGTTGAAAAAGACGATCATTACTGATATTAAAACCATTATTTAAGGTTATTAAATTCATGTTTGCCCTTTCTAAAGAAGTCAAATTTTTTTTTGTCTTCTGAGGCATTATGTGGCATAATGTTCCCCTTCCTGTGAAAAAAGCCCTGTCTTCAATATAACACAGCCAGCAATGAAGTATTATTTAGTTAATTTGTGATGTATTTATTATATTGTGTAGATGGGCTATGGAATGAGAGCAATGACTCTTCTAGAGGAATATTATCTTGGAAAGATTCAGAATATCTCGGAGACGAGTCTCGAGGAGAATACAGAAGCAGACAACATTGACGAGGAGGAGGTGGGAATCCTTGAGGAGAGGGTCACACCCAGAAAACATCTACCACCAATGTTAATGAAGTTGAATGAGAGAAAGGCGGAGCAACTGGAGTATTTGGGAGTTTCATATGGAATGACTTCACCTTTACTGAGGTAGTTTCTGTTGGCTTTTGTTGATGTTTTTTTGCGCCAATTATTTCTTTCTGTTTTAACAATCTTAGATAGAAAACTAAAATAATTATTAATTTACAATATTTTGTAGTACTAGTGTATATATTTGTTAGAAAAGAAACGGGCATTTGTGACTAAAATGGTTAATGTTGCTAACTTCAAACCACATACTGCTCACTGTTGTGGGTTAAATTTACTTTTGGGACTTGGATTCTTTAATGTGAGAAAGTTCCCTTTTATCATTTTATAATTGTTACTTTCAGATTCTGGAAGAAATGTGGCTTTGTACCTGTATACTTGAGACAAACTGCTGTAAGTAATTACATAGCATTAATATGATTTTCAAATACTTATGTTAACTTAAGAAATAATTCGTTTTTATTGGATCTTAAATATAGACTACATGTATTTATATATTTATTATTTTGGTCAGATACAATGTAAGTGTATACTGAGATTTGTAATGTTTTTTGAACAACAGATGATATGAGCACTTTTGTCAAGGTCACCTTTTACATTCAAAGGTTTTCTTACAAGAAGGTTGTGTTCATTGCATAACTTTGAGTACATTATGAAATTTTGAAAAAGGTTTGGTACTAATGATGAGATAAAAGAGAACTGATATTATAGATATCAAATTATTTACAACAAACCATAATATAGTTCTCCAAAGGAGAAAGAATTCTATAAAACTTGTCTTTCCTTCTGATCCTTTTCCATTATGTAAAAACATTTTGTTTGTTGATTGTTGGTATGTGCATTATATATACTATTGGGAATAAATATGTTTAAATTAAAGAAAATTATTGTGAATAATATATTCAGGAATGAATATGTTGTCAATGTTTTCACCTATCATTAACAGTGTATTTGTTGCCATGACAGATTGGGTAAAAAAGATTGCCTCTAAGCAACATTAATTCTACTTGTAGAATGAATTAACAGGAGAACATTCATGTATCATGTTGAAGTCACTGAGTGCAAATCCTGAAGATGAGACAGAATGGTTACCTGCTTTCTGGAAAGGTTAGTTGATAAGATAGACTGGTTCCCCTGAAATTTAAATGTAAACATAAAATTTTAACTTGTTATATGTATTTTTAAGAGGGAAAGCTACTGATATCACTTATGTTGTCTGTCATTTTAATGGAAAGCTGTGGCCTAGTGGTTAAGGTGTCTGCCTCTCAACCCAGGGATCATAGGTTTTAACCCTACTTGGGTCACAACCATGTTTCCTCATGTAACACCAGTACTCGTTGGTTCCAGAAAGCAGACTGGAAAGTGATTAATTTAAGTTGCAAGAACTTGTTTCACAATCAAGTTGAATTAAATATGTTTAAACTAAATTTTGATGGAAAGCTTGATTTATAAGGGAATCTTCACCAAACTATGATCATTTTTCTTGCACAATTTTATCCTACTTGTTTGATTCATGTTATGATTTCAGTTGTAAATTTGAAGATTTATTTAGGGATGCATATATAATAAACATGTCCTGTTTAAAAGTTTTACAAGCACCATACTAGTATTTCATTGGAAAAATGCAGTTTTGTTTTTGATTTTTATAAAATCACTAAATTTGTTTTCTGACAATGGCTATGTCTTAGATACTAGCTTATAATGTTGACTGGCTTCTTGTTTTGAAAGGTCTTGCTTCTCTAGATTAAAAACACAAAATTCTTTGGTTCATAGTCTACTCAAAATTTATTCAATAAACAGATTTTTAAAGTATTTAAAGAATAGTATAAGTATAAGTACATATTTGCTTGGTGTCTGTATCTTTCACAAGGATAATTTATATACAGCTATTACCTCCATTTACAGATTTCCGACGTAGGTTTATAGCATTGTTATCGTACCAGTTTAGAGAATTTACTCCAGCAATGTCACTTAATGTCCTCCAGCAGAAACAGTTCAAATCGGACAATAAAAGTAAGTAAAAGGACTTTAGAACAAGTTAAAATCTTACAGGAAAAGTAGGCAGTTTAAGTTCATACTGATAGTATTGAAACAGTTCATATCTGATGGTAACGTAACAGTCCAGATCTGATAGTAAAATTTGTTTGTAGAAACAGTTCAAATCTGACGGTAAAATCTGTAACAAATTCATGACATACATCTTTTGAGATAAATGGTTGAAGTGCCAATTGCAGAGTTTTTCTCAATGATGCATGTAATGACCTCATTGGCCGCCCATGCATCGAAATAGTTCAGTGAATTACTGAGTTTAAAGTTAATAGGTCACCTCTTGGCAAATTTAACTTTTATGGACATGAATATTTCGGGGGTCCATAAATACTCTCAGTACCTGAAAGGATCGATGGACCATCATAGAGCCTAGAATACATACATAATACATACAACAATACAGCTTTGCATTTTACCACACTCTACACTGTTGGCTGTTTAACTTGTCAATGTCCTACATGTTAACACTTGACAGTTCTAAATTGAAAGCTGGGCAAGTCTGTTATACCCATATAGTGTGGAAAGGGTAAAACATCATGGATATGTTAATTATTACATTTGAAAGTACTTCAGCTGAAATGAACAATTTTGTAGTTTGTCACTCTTAATCCTTCTCACTTGGGGGGGGGGGACCTCCCCAAAAAACAATGTTTTCTTCATTTGCTTATATTGTTTTATTACAGAAACATTGAATGCTGCAGAGTTAGAGACCTATCTGACAAAGTATGACATAAAAAGACTTGAACTTTACTCACAGAACATGGTAGACTATCACCTGATCATGGATCTTGTACCAACACTCGCTAGAATCTACTTCCTCGACCTTATAAATGTTCATCTCAGTGTGATACAAGGCGTAAGTAATATAAAAAAATTGATGTGCTCGTGTAATATTTGTGTATTTTTTTGTGTGTTCAGTCTGTTGTTTTGAACATTATTTGTTGTTATTTGATGCATTATTCTGCAAAATATATATTTATAAATGGCTGATTTGTTTAAAAGGGCTAATTGATTTTCAAATGGGTAACTGATTTAACAAGAATGATCAGTGATCACATGTGTCGCCTTATGATAGCGATATCGGCAAAAAATCATTCAACCTATTAACCTGTGTAATTTAGCTACCGATCAATCCTGTAAAGTTTCATTGAAATTGCATTACTGGTATAACAGAAGTACTCCAGTTAAAATCATTAAAGGGCCAAGACTCTGACAATGAAAAATCAATGAACCAAAAAATGTTGATGAGATGCACAACTGGACATTGTATTGATCATTCCTCTAAAGTTTGAATGAAATTGCACCAGTTCTGAGGAGAAGTCCAGAAAAACTTCGGTGTAGCTGGAGACACACAAAAACAACACCTTTTTAATTCAAGAGCAATAACTCGGCCAAAAATTGTTGAAGCGGAAAACTTGTGTTCTATGCCTACCAATCAATCCTGTACAGTTCCATTGAAATTGCGTAAGTGGTATATGAGGAGTAGTCTGGACAAACTTTAAAAATGAAAATAATTAAAGGGCCATAACTCTGAATAAATCATTTAACTGGAAATGCTAACGTTATGCACAATTAGACTTGGTACTGATCATTCCTGTAAAGATTGGATGAAATTGCACCAGTTGTTTCTGAGAAGGAAGTCCTGACAAGTTTTGTTACAGACATACAGACAGACAACAGAGAAGTGATCCCACAACAGAGGCTCATCTGCCTGCTTTTGTGTCTCGTAGAGTCACGGTCAAGTTCAAGGCTTCTGAAACATATGCTGATAATGGCTATATGACAAGGAACTCTCAAAAATAATAGTAATCATTTTATTTTGAAAATAAAGAAAATCATGTTAATATCATCCTTTATAGATACATATATATGAATAATATATGTACAAAACTCCGATTAGATATTCTGTTGAAATATTTACGCAAAGATTTAGCTAGTTTGATCATTTACAAGTTGCATTCATGATTTGAATTTGAATAACTATTGAGTACAATTTTTTACTGAAATAGTTTAAACTTTGGTTTAAGTATTTTCTACAGGCTATTCAGATAGGAATAATAATATCTGACATATCTTGCATATTCTACCATATTCCATTATATTTTGAATTCTTTATCTTTATTTTCAATGAAAATTTATATCATTACAACCGTAACTACTTTCATTCAACAGCGTATGAATTACAAAATCATTCATAACGGTAAAATGACATCATCTTTATCGTGCCATTGTACAGCACGCAACTCATCTGGAACCCCTCATGCCAGATGAAATTTCCGGCATGGGTAAAAATAACGGAAACGCCAGTCTTATATGCAAAAATAGTTTTATTCCAGTGATAAATCATACACTTTAATGTTACCCTCATATTCTCTCACATACAATCTGTTTTCATTCTGGCAGTATGCCACACCCACTGGTCTGTTTATTCCTTGCAGAACCTTCACCTTGGTCAGTTCAGATGATAATTGATGTATATTATGTGACAAAAATCCACATACAAACACTGCCCCAGACTTGTCTACTGTCAGTTGATACGGATGTTTCAACTGGTCGTCCTTGTAAATGGCCTTGACTTTCCCATCAAAGGTTAAACCTAATACACAGTTATTATCAGCATCAGATACATATATAACTGTGTTGTCTGCACTGATTGTTAAGTAATGAGGATAGGCAAACAGACATTTCCTATATTGATCTCTATGAAATATTTTCTGTACTTTACCAGACATGTCGAGTATCTTCACTGTTGCTAGTTCATCTGTGTATGATACTAGAAGCTTGTTGTTACTATAGGCAACACAATGACAACCTTCTCCTACTTGTATATCTTCAGTGTTGGTCACTGTCATAGACTTAGAAAATGTTATCAGTCTTATAATTCCAAGTCTATTTAGTGTGACAACAGCTTTGTTATTGTCAACTCTAGCTATAGCTGTAGCTCCTACCGGCAGGTCTATTGTATCATATGATGTGCTGACTGATATATCCTTGAATATAACAAGATTGGCATATTTACAGTTGTCTGTCAGAAGACAATGTTTTGATAAAAAGCATAAAGATGACCAGGAGTCAGACGGGAATTTAATATCTGTGTAATACCTAGCAGTTCTTTGTACTTCAGACTCCTGTATTTCTTGATAGGTGAAAAATTTGTCACAGACTTGTAAATTCGTTATATTTTGTTCAGAAGCTTTGCATTCAACATTGTAATAATGAATTGAATTGTTTTGCCATTGTTTTTCTGCATCTGGTTTCAATTGATCAATGATTTCCTGCCCCTTCTTCATTACAACAAACATTTGACATCTTTGATCTGCACCTTGATGATGAACCAGTTCTGTTGATACGGTGTTTAGTTTTGTTTTCATTTTTGAGGTTTCGTCTATGATTGTCTGCAAAACTTTTGTGTCATTCTTTTTTATGATTTCAATTTTCTTCTTTATTTCATTTTCCTCATATTGTAATAATTTTTCTAATTTCCTTTGATTTTCTTGTAATTTGTTAATTTTCTCTTTTTTCTTTTCTTCAAGTTTTTGTATGGCTTCTTCTATATTTTTCTCGATGTTTTGAATTATACCTGTCTGATGTTGTTCAAACACTGACAATATTTCTTTCTTTTTTTTCATGACCATATCTAATATCTTTGTTTCTTGTGAAGCAACATACTTCATGTTTATGTTCACACGTTTTTCTGTATTTTCCAAATCTTTCATTAACTCATCAAGATTTTCAGTGAGTTCTTTGATTTCTTGGCTGTTTTCAATTCCTGGAACAAGAGCTGGCAAATGGCTGACCATACTACAGTTCCCATGGTCTTGAGTCTTGCATTCAGTACAGGCAAATTTATTGCAAGCTTGACAATAGAACTTGACTAATTCATCTTGATGAACAGAACATTTCTCCAGACAGAAATCCTGTGGCATGTTATCCTTATCCTTGATGGTATGAGAGACCAGTAATCTTTTATGGAATTTAAGGCAAGTCCCACACAAGTACTCGAAACATTCCTCACAAAATCCTTCAGCAGAAACATAATGCTTGTCATGTTTATCACAATGTTCACAAAACATTTCCTGAACTTCATCAGAGTCCTGTGTAAATGAAGCACTGAAGTCTATCCTGGATTGTGCCATGATTTTTTTATTTACATTTATATTTCAGTTTTAAGTATCCCAGCTGATCTTCTTAAGAATTATCAGTTTTCATGTTCGGCTTTTGTTCCCCATTGGAGATCTTTAATATAAATGAATACATGTAGACTTCTTTTTGACTTTAAATTGAGTTAGGGTCATACATCAGATTATGTTAGGTTGTCGATTAGATATGACGATCATGTGGTTATTTGAATTGTTGAGATTACATGTCCTGAATTTGATATTGTGCTTTACATAGTATATTGATAAGATAATAAACTGACTATTATTTACATCTCCACCATGAAGATAACATTTCAAACTGATCTAAATAACACACATTGACTGAGTGTGCACAACACTCAAATTTTTTTTAAACATTCTATATAAATTCAGTACAAGAGAAGGGCACCATTGAAGACGTCTTCATAAAAAGTCGCCATATTATCTATATTGTGTTGGTGTGACGTGAAACGTCAGACTGACGTACCTTGTTTCACTTGACAATTTCTATAAGCCTTTACCTTGATGGACGTTTAAAATGGATTAGCCCATCTTTCCGCCTGGACAAAACTATTTATCACTTTTAAGGAAAATTTCAATTAAGGTTTAATTGACTCTAAAACAAATGTTGCAGATCATGATCAAACCTCACAGATATGCTGGCTGATCTTGGTCTGCACTGGGCACACAGGTAGAATTACATTTTACATCAAGATATTCTACAGTACATTGCAGTATTGCATTACTTGCTTTGTACTTCAAATGTACTGGGTCCATTCCATATTTATTTAATGAGGGATGCTATGAAATGGCAATCAGAACTATGAATAGAAAAATCTTGTCTGGCTTTCACAGGTCAAACTGCTGGTGGGATCTTGACCAAAATTCACAAGAGTTATCTGTATCATACGTAGTTTTGGGAGACATTTGTTTTTGTGACAAAAACCTCGTCTAGTTTGATGTGTTTTTGAACTGATAAATGGCCTAGTGATGTGTCAATATTTGGTTATTTGATGTGTTATTGATTTGCAGTTCTTGAATCTATAGGTACGATTATTTCACAATTTCTATGTTTCAGGGTGTGTTATTGGGTCTAGGATTACAACATAAAACTGTGGAGGTGCTGGAACAACAACTGGATCTGCCTGCCTCACAACTTCTCGGCCTCTTCAATAAGATCATACGTAAAATGGTTCAGCATTTCACACAGATAATGGAGAAAGATGTTGAACAGGTCATGGTTGAACGACAAGAAATCGAGCTGCATCCAGTCGAGCAAACTATTGACGAGGAACTGGTATGTAACTACAATTTTTTCTTGCATATCATACCCGCCTCCGTGGTCGAGGAGTTAGAGTCGATGACTTCTAATTCAGTTACCTCTCTGGCGTGGGTTCGATCCCCGGGAGATGCTTTGGTAGTTTAGCGCGGAGGAAGGTAGTCTAGTACTGGTTTAACTCTCCAGGAACGATGGTTAGGAAACTACCCGCCTATATGACTGAGATACTGTTGAAAAAAGGCGTAAATTGAAACAAACAAATTGCATATCATACAGGATTATCTACTGTTTAGACTGGTACCAGATAAACCAGTCGTGCACCCCAATATGTGACAGGTCGCATCAATAAATAACGTCATTCACACGCACCTTTATTAATGAATTGTGTTCTTAGGATGATGTCATTTTGCAATAAACAAATAACATGTATGAATGAAGTTGTAAATTTATAACTTATTATGTTTAAGAAAAAAGAGTTCCACTGTATATGGAAATTTTAGTTTTCGTAATTTTTTTTACCGCAATAGGATTTATCTGTATGCAATAAAAGAAAAGATTCAAACACCGGCTGTTGTCAAAGTCAGGAATGGCATGTTTTCGGGTAACTGTTTAGTAGAAACCCAGCAGAACCTCATTACCATTGTTAACTGTTAAAAGCAAAGAGCAAAATATTCTGGTTTTAATTTGCATTTAGTAGTAGATTCTTAAATTCTCTTTACTTGTAATTATTGGTAATGATTTTGTGTATATAGTAAGTTAACCAGAAGAAGTAAATTTCACTGAATATAGATAATTAACACTGGATATACTACAGTAATGTTTCACTGGATATAATGCATTTGTAGTTACCAAGAACAGATTTTAAATTTCTTTTGCTTGGATACACAATTCATTGAAATAGTTATAAGCTTGTATTTTAAACATGTGGTGTGATGTTCATTATAAAGTTTGCTTACAGTTGTTATAACCATTGTTGCATGAGATCAAAAGGGCATTATATGTTAGCATTAAGATTTTGTGTGCAAATTTTGTATTCCAAGACTCTTATAAATATCAGTACTACCTATGTGTATTAGGTGTGTACTTTTAACCTAAAGTATATGTATTTGAAGCTTGTTTGTAAAATCAGAAATTTTCATGAGGGATTGATTTTTTCTAAATTTGCATGTGAAACCGAACATTCATTATGATCATCTCTCATAAATGTAACAGAACTGTAACTATAACTTCAATAATATTTAATCTTGGCAATACATGTAGTCTTAAAATGTTAATTTTCACGGAATTTTTACCTCACAAAAATATCTTATTTTACAGTATTCTTTTGCTTTAACATTTTATAGTTTGTATTAAACCTGTTAATTAATCAGATAATAAATTTTGTGATTTTAGACAGAAGCAGCTAATGAGGTAAAGAAGAAGGAAAAGAAGAAGTTAGTAGAGTTACAGAAAACAGATCTGTCACAGTATGCAATAAAGGGGTCAGAGGTCGACTGGGATCAAGCGCTGGGAGGCGGAAAACAGGGCCTTGTTAGTGTTAAAAGGTATCTATGTTGATCTTGCTTGAATTTTGACACTTGATGGTACAATGTACTGTGGAATTTAGATTCTATAGATCTATAAGATGTAGCAAGTTGTAATTGTATTGATTATTGCGTAAGTAATCAGGCATTTGTGGAGGAGTGGTTATGGTCATTGACTTCAAAACACCTGCCTTTTACTGCTGTAGGTTCAAATCCTGCCTTTGGATTCTTTCATTTGAAGAAGCTATCAAGCTAGCTTATTGAAAGATGGTGGTTCTACTCAGGTGCCTACTTCTGCCTGTAATAATGCATGGAGGGGCACCTGGGTTCTACCTCCACCAGTAAAGCTGGAAAATTGTCATTATGACTATTACAGTGTTTGTGTTGGCTTTAGACACAACAACAACAAAAAAAGTGCTAATACAATGATAGTATATGTAGTTTATCAATAAGCTACATGTTATTATACCCCCGCACAACAAAGTTGTAAGGGGTTATACTGGAATCAGCTTGTCCGTCTGGCTGTCCATCCGTTTTTAGCTCACCTGTCACACAGTTGTCATATTTGGAATGGAGGTTAGTCCTGATTAGTAGGTGACCCCTATTGATTTTAAGGTCACCAGGTCAAAGGTTAAAGTCACATGGACTTCGACTTCAAAAAGTTTGTCCGCCCATTAACTTTAGATTCCTTTGACCATTTGGCATGGAAGTTGATCATGGCCATAAGGTGACCCCTATTGATTTTGAGGTCACCGGGTCAAAGGTCAAGGTCACAGGGACCTTGACAAAAAAAGAAAAGCTTTTCCTCTCAATTGCTTAAGGATGCCTGTCCGCAGTGTATTAATTTTGACATTTTCACATTTGAAGCATGTAGAATACATTACTTAGCAATGCACTGGCTTAGTAACCTCAGGTTTGGCAGGGAGGTTGTCCTTGGGTTCTAAATGGCCACTGTTGATTCTGACAAAGTGGTATGCGGGGGTATTCACGCCATGACAGTGGCAGTTCTAGTTTATAACTAATATTTTTCTGTCAAAATATTTCCCAAAAACTAGATGTTTTATCAGTCCACCCCACTTTATGCTTTTCAGAGGTCTCTTTCTCGTTTTCAAAATTAGTTGGTATAAAAAATTTATAATGTTACAATTTTTTTTCAGCACCTTGCAAGAGAAGAAGAGGAAACAAGAAGAAACTTTAGTAGAGACTGAAAAAGAACATTCTAAATCTAAGAAAAAGTTCAAAAACAAACATAAAAAATGATGATTATTTAAGTCATGTTATATTTTTTAAAAAAAGATGAACATGTTACAGATTGCTGTTGTTTTAGTTCTCAAGCAACAGATTTTTACTATAATAAATCATGCATTTTAGAATTTTTGGGAAAATGCAAGGAAATGCTTAAATTTACATGTGCCAGTTGTCTTCTTTGTCAGTGGGGAGTGATAAAGATTTCATAATTCAAACCATTTCCACTTTACCACCGGAGGTTTGAATCCCGTCAGGGACTTTTGATTCTCTTATGAAGCTACTTGGGTAGCTTACAGAATGTCAATGGTTCTACTTGGGTGCCAGTAAATACCTGATATAATGCACGGAGGGGCCATGGGGTGCCTCCACCAGCAAAGTCAAAAAGGCGCAGTATGACCTTTAGTGTTGGTGCAACCCATCCAAGATAAAAAAAAGAATAGTATGTCAACTATATATTGTTAATAAAGTTTATGAATTACAAAGTGTAAGGTAATCACTGTTAACACAGTTCACACTCTCTAGTATTTCCTAGTTTTAACTGAATGCTACAAGTATTCTTGGTTTTACCATAAAACTCATACTTTTTCCTTTTTCCTATTTTTATTCTTCATTTTCCCTTTTTTGTTTTCATAATTATACAAATGTGTACTGTTGGAGAGCCTAAAAATTATCTACACATATACATGAAAAGAAATGATTCTATGTACTAGATTCAAAGTTTCTTTATCAACAAAGTTAATGATAATTGTATAATATGACTATGTATAAAAGCTTTGTTACTTATTGTTAAATAAATTGTGATGAAGTATGATGTGAAATTTATACACAAGAAAGAATATGATTGATTATATTTTGTTATATACGATCAAAGTAAAGTAAATTTTTAATCTTATTATTTCAATTCAAACTTGTTATCCCCCTTGTTTCGCAGTTATTTCTTGGCAATTGCTTACTGGATTTTAACAAAACATGAATACCAGGAGAGTGCATGACATCGCCATGTCCCGGTCGGACCATTCAACTTACATGTTTAGCCCCTTATTAAATTTGCATATTTTGTTTGTTTGTTTTTTTTAACTTAATGGCAGAAACGAAGACAACAGTAAATATACGGACCAGTATATTTCGTAGTAAACCAAATATAAAGAAGTTTTTTGAATGAATTCTTATGTGGCTTAAGTCCAATACGAAGCTTATAAACAAGATGGTCGCAAAACGAAATTGAGCTAGCTTGCAGCATTACTATTGAGTCTTTTTACAGGTATACAATATGTTCTAACATTTGGTTCAACTGTCAAAAGTCATAATTGTGTTTACTATCATGAAAAGCGTATTTTAGATGTACAAAAATCGAGTCCATATATTTAATTTTATATTACAACTAAATGTAACCAAGGTCTTTCAAATAGAAAGACCTTGGTTTAACCAATAAACTTCCAGCGTATTCAAGCAAAAATCATTGTTGGTTTAAAACTTATCAATGCAGCCCTTTTTCGTTTCTGAGTCCAGAAAAATCCGTATCATATTTATATTGTGCTCGAACAGAGATTTAATTCATGTTATGAAAATCTCAAAAGATCGACAAAGTTCTGTCAAAATGTTTAAAATTGGTGTGAAATAGTCATATACATTGTTGAATACAATAGATTCAACTGGATTCGTACACAGCTGCAAAACCTATATTGGACTCGGCTAGCACGGTACTCGTCCAATAGAACTCTACATTTTGTTGTATAATTTTACAATAATAACTTTTACGCTTGAATCAGTTGAAATTAATTAAAATAGATAGGCAAACATATAGACTAAATTTTAATACTCATTTAATACATAAAAAACTAATCACGTTGTATTATCATTCCAATAAAAACTATTTTCAAAAGTAGACACGATTAACCGTTAATAGTTTTGCTTTGAACTGTAAGCGAGAGACTCGGCACTGATCTGAAATAAAAATACACGTATATCTTGTATGCCATATTTTTATGAAACCGTTTCATTTAAATACGAGGGGCATATTTTAATTTGTGGCAACAACTCAATTTAATCAGGATTTGCACGTGAAAGTACATGACTGTATAATTACTGTTTGAAAGATTATTGATTTTTCTAACCAACAGTCTATTTTCGCACGATTTGCATGTGCAATAAAATTTAAGGTCATTTTTATACATGCGGTTTGTATATGATTGAGAGCCATTGTGAGCATAGAGCTTATTACAAAATTCGTGGGTAAGGTAAATGCGCGTTAGATCCCGACAATATACTCGGTAACATAATGTGGGAAGGTGAAAACAGTGATCGCCCAGTTGTTGCTCGACGTAGCAGAAACTTTAAAAGAGTTATAAACGCTCTATGTTTGACAGATTGAATAGTGGCCTGTGTCGCTGTGCCTGAGAAGGGTAGTGTCACTGGAACCTTTTACTGTGACCATGTTCTCATTACATTACAAAGAGCCCAAGGTCCGGAGTGCTCAGGATCAAATAACTCCATGGTAATGCAACTGCGGTTCGAAACCCGAAATGCCGTCGGAAGCGCTTTCTACCAGTGTAAAACCAGTACACTCAAAGAACAGTTCAAAATTCCTTTTCTGAATGGATTCTTGGGCTGGAAACGTGTGTAGAGGCCCATGGTGAATATTTTAAAGGACTCAACTAATAATCTTTCACAGGTTTGACTTATTTACAAAATCGCACGGTCGTTGCCTCCAATTAAAATATGCCACATCGTATTAATTTGAAAAGCATATTATTACTTAATATTACAAACAAAACACCATATATGTCTTCATAGATTGATAACGAATATTTAAATATTGCAACGATTGAAAATGTCGAAAAATGGTAACAGAAGGCAACACTGCCTGAAATAAAACACTGAGGACTCGGGTCTTCCTCCGCCAGAAAAGCTAGAAACTTGCCATGTTGACCTCTTCTGTTTTGGTGCGATGTAAAATCCAACTAAAGGAACATTGACGGGCCATATTTCCAAAAAAACTTTTGTAATATTTTCAGAATATTTAGCATACCCCGGGAATATATTTAAAGGGGTACATATGTAGGTGGTGGAAGACCAGGTATTAGACCAGCTGCCAAATATGTCCTACATTTTACAAAACAATTCAATATCAAAGTTAAAAAGCTGAAACACAGTGTGCTTCAGTTAAGAAACTTTTGTCGTTTGACGGGCCATATTCACATAAAACGTTTCACTTCACCACTATTGAGCATTTTGTTAGTTTACATTTTTTTCTTCTAACAATGATATGACTATAAGAGAATAAAATTATACATATAACACAATCATAAGAAAGTCATTTTTAGGCCTACACATGTATAATCTTTAGTGTCTGAAACCAAGTAATTTAGCAGAAATTTTATTTCTCAGATGAAAATTCTTCTTCTTGTCAAATTTCTCTGCAAGGACTTCGAACAAACCACGTGCACTTACTGCTGGACGCGCAGTAACAAGGGGCAGGACGTGAAGTGGTTGCACACTTGGTTCAAGCGAGCGAATTGGTTGCAAACTTGACAAAATGGCGAACACGGCGTGATTTTTCGAAACGGGTGAACGAATTATTGCCAGGCGAGTGGGTTTCTTTGATATTCTGAAGTTCATAAGTATGTCTATTCCATAATGTAATATATATGCCTCACTCGGTTAAAGGTTTCAGCATCCTAGATTCTGTTTTGACGAAGTTATTGAAGATATAAACTGATCATGTAGATATTTTGAAATTTGACATATGACTGTTCTGGTCGGGTTTTCTCCTAATTTATTCGAATTTGTAAGTTTTGAACTGCATTTAACAATAACAAAATATATTTCTGTCAATGCTGTACAAATGGTTTAGTTTGCAAGTCCGAAGATAACGTTCAACACACAAAAATATCTTGTTCAAGCACATTTGGTTGCAGACTTATACTTCAAGCATTTTTGGTTGCAAACTTATTCTTATTCTATTGAAATCCATAGTAAAACTTTTCAAAAAGGAGTGTAGAAGGTTATATTTATTAACCAATTTTTCAATGCAATTATTGACATAATTTATGTTCTGTTACTTGTTTTTGTTATAAATGTTATTTATATTTTCTTCTTTTACAACAATTATGCACTTTTTTGTTTCAAATTACATGGTTCTCAGTTCAATACTATAATCATCAGTAAAAGCCCTGCAAACAAAATAATAGCATATAGAAAAATATTTATTGTTATTTCAAATCTAAAATATATTCACCATATGTAAAATGCAAATGAAAACTGCATACAAAACAAACGTATGTGAAAGTACTGTTGTATGTAAGTGAATTATTTTCATCATAAACATAAGGACATGTGCACACACACGATGTTACTCGGCAAAATGTCCAAAGTTTATCAAAACCACAAGATATATTAATTTGTTTGTTTCATATGTAAAGATCAGTAGTTGCTTTAGACATAAAGTATGTAAATGCACTTAAAATATTTTCACAAACCAAAAGTTAAAATGACATGCTTGTTTACAATATTTCGGATTTAAGGTACATCATAATTATGTCAATTGGTATTCTAAAGATGATTTTGATTATTAGATCATAATATAAATATAAATGATATACGATTGGTTATTTACATTGACTTATACGTGACAAAACTACTTGAAGTCATTGTTCGAGTTATGGAATTTGGAAGATGTTTCGATTGGTCAATAATTAGGAACATTTTAAAGAAACATGTGAATAATGCCCTTGTGTCAATGTTAATATAGTTTTTATCTACTATATAATCAAATTTATTTCAAATCTCAAAAAAGAACAATAATGGAAGCTGTTTGTTGCCATTTTTTTCTTCTTTTCCTTTACAGTTAGTCATGCCAAGATATAAAAAAAGTCCTATGACTTTGTAAAAAAGAAAAGAATCATATCGAGGAGAAAAAATGATGAAGATAAACACAACTGAACAATTTAGCATACACTGTATTGTGTTTTATATCTATTTGAAAGACCCTGTGTTAGGATATTTCTGCACGCATGCACAATTTGTATATATATTTCTTATAAGATGAGCGGGTATTATTGCCTTAATATTGCTAATTATTTTTAAAAAAATGATTAGTTATTCCTCGCTAAAAATATGCATGCCACATTATTAACACAAAAGTTTGCAACCAAAAATGCTTGAAGTATAAGTCTGCAACTAAAATGTGACTTCAAACAAGATATTTTTGTGTATTGAACGTTATCTTCGGACTTGCGAACTAAACCATTTGTACAGCATTGACAGAAATAAATATATTTTGATATTGTTAAATGCAGTTCAAAACTTACAAATTCGAATAAATTAGGAGAAAAACCGACCAGAACAGTCATATGTCAAATTTCAAAATATCTACATGATCAGTTTATATCTTCAATAACTTCGTCAAAACAGAATCTAGGATGCTGAAACCTTTAACCGAGTGTGGCATATATATTGCATTATGGAATAGACATACTAATGAACTTCAATATAACAAAGAAACCCACTTGTCTGGCAATAACTCGTTCACCCGTTTAAAAAAATCAAGCCGTGTTCGCCATTTTGTCAAGTTTGCAACCAATTCGCTCGCTTGAACCAAGTGTGCAACCACTTCACGTCCTGCCCCTTGAGTAATGTCTGTTTCATAGAAGTAAAAGGTATAAAAAATCAAGATTTACTTTCAAAATAATTCGCCGCCATTAACCGTGACTAACTTACAAGCCTAATTTGGACATACAATGTACTTTCTTGTAAATGAAGAAAAAGTTTTTGTTTCTCCAGTAATTTTAGGTATTTAATTAATTAAAGTGGGATGACCGTGGTCTACAATGGGACACATATGCCAAATCCCCACAGCGGTTACTTCCCCTTCACAATACAGTTGCTAAATATAGATACCATATTACCATGTAAACATTCTATAAATAGAAATAGGAAAATCCCAAACGCGTCAAAACGAAACTAGAAAACTATGGGTTTAAGATGCGTCGTTTGGTGCCAAGTAAGCTTTGGAATAATTATTCCCTGGCTTTTGCATACATTCGCGGTTTTTAGTCCGTTTTGGCTAATAGAAGATGGTGTAATGAAGGGTCTTTTCTACCAGAGACTTGCTAACGGGTCGCCGTATTTGGAGGGTAACTTTTTGTTTTTCTTTAGCTGCAAATAACTGTTTACATACAGGGATCTATATACTACATGTATGTGTAATTTATACAACTCTGATACTTCACTTTCAGATCTATAAAAATGTTAAATATATGTACGACTTTATTTGTTTTCATTAGACCTTTAGGTGAACAGAATAGAATAGAATAAATTTTATTTCCAATCATGGGCCTTTACAGACATGTAATCACATAATTATGATAGTGTACAAAATGTACACAACTAAAAACACAACGTAAACTATAATGTGAGTACTGTACTAGTAAGCGACACCATTGCTCTATAATATATATAAAATATTAAACAATTGTTCAAACATGCATTGCATGTGAAGAATAACGAAGCACTGTCTTGATTTTAACTTCTTTAAAGGTCCACTATGCTACAAATATGCTATAATTTTTATTTCTCAAAAACTTTTTATTTTTTGGTATATTGTTACTGTTTCCAAAAATTACTTATTTGCCACATAATCTGAACTGTCTTTTGCTTCTTTTTCTCTGTTTGCAATTGGTACAATTAAAGTGAATTAGTATTTTGTATGGAAGTCAAAATACTTCATTGTTCACATTTTTACTACCTTTACGACACATTACTGCACGTTCAGCGCTAAAGTATTTAGTTGATTAACATCTAATATGCTCTGAATCCAGTAGTGAAACAATATGTAACACATTTTTTACATTTCTAAAGAATTAAAACAATATGGATTTCTGAGGAACAATGTGCCTATTAGTGAATTTTATATGTACTTTTATATGCATACACTATTTACATTAATTTTGTAGTTTTGGATCAAGCAACCCTGGGTTTACAGACCACCTCATTTATCTTGCTACTTTTCTGCCTCATCTCGTGTTGTATAACTGCCAGTGTTTACGGACCCGACGAGGACGGTGATATTGAAAATGAATTCAGGTCATGCTTTGGCTGTAATTGTTTATGGTTTTATTGCAACATAGGGGTTTATGTGATAACAAGTAAGTACATGTATATATTGATGATTCTTAATCTATTTCTTGTCCGCAGGATGATACAAGTTTAGGTTAACTTTTTCATCGGTCCAAAATACTTCTGCTAATGCCCTCTGCCTTCTCTATGACATGCACCTCTCAAGAGGGAGAAAGCAGCCACGTTTAATTGTTGTTGTTGTTGTTGTTTCAATCAAAGCAAACAATAAAAGATATCGAAACCAGAACTATATAAAAGTGGATTGGTCTATACTGGGCACACAATATTAATCTATAGTATTACAGATCTTCATTTATGGACCAATTCACTTTAATGGCATGTCCGCAGTTACATGACGTGAACAGTCATGTTAATCTATATTTAGTATAAGTATGTTTTAAATATAATGAATCAAAACCACGATAATATTTAGTTTCGCACCTCATCGCACATATAAATACAGGGCAAAATCAATTGTCTGTATTGCCCAAGTTGCCTCGCAGCCTGTACGGACAATTGAAAAATTTAAATTTTATAATTTATATCAAACGGACAAGTTAAGAAAAACTTGAGATAAAAACGGACGAGTAAGTCAAACTCAAATTTTACTGGCCTCGCATAACGTCACTAAACAGTAAAATATTGCTACGTGATCACAAATGATTTCATGTACAGAGGAACACTTTTGTTGACAGTGCAGACTAAAGAATTGAACTTGATATGTATCCAGGAAAATCACAGACACTTGAGGGTCAGACCCTATCCGGCTTGAACAGCCCCTGTAAACGGTCAATTAAAAATCTTTTTAACGTTTTTACACAAATGGAACATCTGTCTTAATCATTAATATTGTTTTAAAACCATTTCCACAACATTAAAAAATCCCATGTACCGTCTAGTGTCAAAAATGTATGCATTCAAGGTGGGGTTTTTATTAACCGATTACAAGGTCGGTTCAAGCCGGATAGGGTCTTGCCCCAAGTGACTGTGAGAACAATACAGCACATCCGCCTGTGATAACACAGAACGGTCAGTGCATATGATAATATTTTTCAGGAAGTTTTGTTCAACTAAAAACAAAATCTACTACTATTGCAGGTATACTTATGATGTCTGGTTGTTGGAGATTAGGGTCGTTGTTTCCTATGGAGCATATTGGTCCGTCTTTCTATCTGTGTTTATCATCATTTCTTCTCATCTGGTTAAGTGTAAGTCATATTACATATTTTTTCGTATTTGTCTCTTGTTTTTTTAGCTCACCTGTCACAAAGTGACATGGTGAGCTTTTGTGATTGCTTTTCGTCCGGCGTCCGTCCGTCCGTAAACTTTTACTTTAAATGACATCTCCTCATAAACGGCTAAGCCAGTTTCATCCAAACTTCACTATTTGAATTATTTAAAAGATGATTTTTTTTAAAGTTTTTACTATATACATAAAGGGAAAAACAATGACCCCCTTGGGCGGGGCTAATTTTGACCCTAGGACTTTTATTTGAATAAAATTGGTAGACACCCACTAAAAGATGTTCCATGCTTTATATCTATCTAAGCTCTAATAGCTAATTGGGTTTTTTAAATGAAGATTTTTTAAATTTCCACTATATACATATAGGGAAAAACAATGACCCCTGGGACGGGGCCAATTTTGACCCTAGGGCTTTTATTTGAACAAACGTGGTAGACACCCACCAGAAGATGTTGTATGCCTAAAATCTAAGCTCTAGCTACATTGTATTTTAATTTATTAAAAGAAGATTTTTTAAGTTTTTACTATATACAAATAAGAAAATCAATGAACCGCCTCCCACCCCCGAGCGGGCCAATTATGGGTGTCTACCAAGTTTCTTCAAATAAAGGCCCTGGAGTAAAAATTGGTACTGCCCCGGGGGTGAGTGTGTACAAACTTTGTTAAAATAAAAGCTCTGGGGTCAAAATTGTTCCCGCCCTGGGGGTCATTGTTTTCCCTTTATGTGTATTGTAAAAACTTTAAAAATCTTCTTTTAAAATCTCCAAGGGCTAGAGCTAAGATATTTATCATAAAACAACTTCTAATGGGTGTTCAAATTGTTCAAATAAAAGCCCTTGTGTTAAAATTGGCCCCGCCCTAGTGGCCTATATACAGGTAAGCAATTTCAGGGCCATCATGGCCCTCTTTTTTACTGCTTACTCTTAATCTGCTGATTTCTCAAATGAACTTACTCATTTTTAGCTCGACTTTTTGTTAAAAAAAAGTAGAGGTATTGTTATAGTCCTGGCGGCGTTGCCGTATCCGTTGCAACCGTCGCAAACTTGTACCTGGATCATAACTTTTTTAGTTCTTGCTGTATTGACTTCATACTTGGCCACAACAACCCTTGGGACAAGACCTTCTGTAGACCACCTACCACACTAACCTAGACCTTCATCCATAAATGACATTGACCTTCAAGGTCAAAAGTCCAAATTTTGCTTGTTCTTGCCATTATTGGCTGTAACTTTGTTATTCTGAATGGATTGTCTTCAAACTTGAACATAATAATCTTCAAGGATTTATACTTTGACAAGACAGACCGATTAAATTTCTAAAAAAGGAAATGTTAAGAAATGTTCAAACATTGCTTGTATGCTTTTAGAAAAAGTAATATGTCGAGCGTTGCCCCCGCCGTTTATTTTAGGACAATCGCAACTTTTCGGCCCTTTCCGTTAATCTTCGGATAATGATAATGAATAATCGTCGAGATGTTACTTAACGTTTTGGTTGGTTGGTTGATTGGTTGGTTGGTTGATTAGTTGTTTGTTTGGATTTAACGTCGCACCAACACAATATAATTATGTCATGTGGCGACTTTCCAGCTTTACTGGTGTCTTTGAATACAAATTTTCAGGCACAAACAGGCGCCTGAGTAGAACCACCGACGTTCCGTAAGCAATCTGGATATATACTGTAGCCTCCTCCTATGAAAGAATCCAAAGTCCCTGTCGGGATTCAAACCAACAGCGGTGAGGGGCAAGTGGTTTGCAATTATCAATTTTAGGGATATGAAAATGAAAATTTAAAGTTAGTCTGCCAACAGTGTAGGCCTGATCTAACAGCGCGGATGTGCAGGCTGGTCTGGCCCTTACTGATGACAAGGGCTAAACACTGTCGGTTCTAACAGGATAATGAACAACGTCTGAGCGTATTGTATAAAGTTTATATATCATCACTGTTGCACCTTGCTCTCTTGCAATCCATTTTTGGCTAAATGGTGTCTGACAATTATGTTGCTAAGTTTGAGGGTTCGAATCGTATCTTGTGCGAGCTATGTTGCAATTTCTACGGCATTTGAATTTTATCTGTATAATAACTAACTGGGGACTCATCCGTGATGACAGCATCTTTATCTTCTTGCATATATATTTTTTATTGTTTCGATTTCCGCTTTCTGGAAATAATCAGCCCTGGTATCATTTGGGGAAAAAGAGTAGTGACCCGAGTAGGGCTCGAACCCACAAAGTTCCCCGTGTTTAGAGGGAGACACCTTAACCACTATGGTACTGCTTCATTCTTGAGGGATTTCAGTATCAAAATGATAAAATGTGACAGCCAACAATATGGAGTATTAGTGGCTGTTACAATTTATCATCATTTTGAAGAAATGTACTGGGTGACCTTGTTATATACCATTGGCAATTAACACAAGCCAAAATCACTACTATCATAATAAGCGTTAATTATAATTTGCATTCTATTTTATTTCCAGGTGTTTATATTTATTTGTGATCACGTGTGTAAAAGGCGTCATGCAGATTCCGTGTATCACACACTTATAGAGAAAATTTACGATGGGGCTTTGGACTAAATACTAACTAGCTGTATTATAAACTGAGCACAGGTTTATGCCTTCAGGGATCACACTTGACCTACCACAGCTGACTGTGATAGCACGCGATGCTCTAAATCCGGAGACTCTGTGATTTTATTAGAAACTTGTGTAGTTTACATATACGTTTTGAGTGATTTTAGTATACCTAAACACTTACATTCATCTAAGCTGTATAAACATGTACCTCATTCACCTCAATATATTCCTTAAACGAGCAGAATACTATTTTTATATGATAAAGCACATTGTTTTGGCTACAAAGATAGATAGTGCATTTTCAAACGTATAAATGTCATCTGTACATATTTATATTTGTTGGATTTTAATTCACTCTGACATTTCCAGCTTTATTGGGCGGAAATCTCCAGATGCCCGCCCCTTCGAGCATTATTTCGGGCACGAGCAGGCACCAAAGAAGAACCACCGACCGTAAGCCAGCTAGATATCTTTATCACATGAAAGAATCTTAATTCCCTGGCGGGATTCGGGTCCATGCGGGAGGGCAAGTGATTTGAGGCCGAATAACTTTTTTTTCTGAAATCTAGCAAATAGCCACGTTTCGTTATTCATTTTAATGCATGTACCTGTACCTGTAATGTATTCACAAATGCGACACGTGGACCGCCCCACAACGAGGTAATGTTGCTTGTCCAAGCCTCGTGCTTTATTTAATACAAGTTTAATATTGTTCAATCCTTTGTAAAGTCCAGACAAAGTTAACATGATGAAAATATGAATTTTTCTGCATCATTGAGTGCATGCATGCTAGTAAAACTATGAAACATAACCACAAAGAGAAAAGAAATTGTAGGAAATTTAGTTTATTTACCATTATTTGTTAAAAATGCATCCGTAATCACGATGTACTCATGTATTGCTGAAAACGTACTTTGAAAACTTCATTTTCATGATATTATTTTTGTTATAAAACCTAGTTCTTTATTTGAAAAAGTCACGTTTGATTAATATTTCAGATAATGCAGACGTCACGTGATGTCCCACGTGATCATAATTTGCAAGAAATACCCTTACATCTATTTTTATCGACATGTCTGTATCCCATTGGTCAAATTAATCACGAATCCGGAAGAAATAAAAATTCAGCAATTTACTTACATGTTTAAGCGGATTAAAAATTGTTACAAATGAGCCACGTCATGACAAAACCAACATAATGAATTTGCGACCAGCATGGATCAAGATCAGCCTGCGCATCCGCGCAGTCTGATCAGGATCCATGCTGTTCGCTACAATTTCTCTACTTGTAATAGGATTGGTAAGCGAACAGCATGGATCCTGATCAGACTGCGCGGATGCAAACGGTCGCAAACGCACTATAATGGTTTTGTCGTGACGCGGCTCATATGTTCCGTCATGTATAATTAATTAACGTCACGGACGCATGTCCGAATCTGGTTACTCTTTGCGGATTTTAGTGACCCTGGAAATGTAACCTTTTTTATATGTATATGAAACAGTCATGTAAAAAATATTTTAAGTGATTATCTAATTAGTTATGGTGATATTTTACGGGGTTATTTTTCTTTTCTTTTTTTTTCATGTTTAATTATAGCTCACCAACAAAAAGTACACGGCGTTTGTATTAGTAATTTCAGGGATGAACAACATGTAATTGTATGTATGCCTGTTGTTGTTGTTTGTTTGTTTGTTTTGTAGTTTTAACTACATGTACTCAAAACATGTGCCTATTTTTTATATATGCAACCAGTTCACTTTTGTGGTTTATTAGGCATATTATGATACCACTGTTTTAATTTCAAATAGAAATACATTTGTAATTGTACTGTACAATATTGTTACATATTTTTGATAGTTATATTTCTGTAAACAATTTTGTGAATTCAAGATTTCTGATATATGTAGTACATATATATTTTCACAAAATGTACCTAAATAAATTGCTTAAGAAAACGATTTCTATGACTCTATTTCGTCCGATGAACCTGGGACGGATCGATTTCAACTGGACATCAACATTGGCACTGATAGGAAAGCGCGAGTTGCTTGTCCCGTGTATCTTTCTGTCCCAGGATGAACTGTCCGACTGTGCAATAACAAATTGAGATAAGTATATGTCTGTAACCTTCTAAAAATAGGCGCAGGCTCTGTAAAATCGCTTTAAAATTAGACAGTTTGATTTTTATGAGTATAAAACTAATGCTAGTGAATTGAACGTTAACCGAACAGGGCTATTATTTCCCTTCTTATCACCATCAAGAAAAGGAGAAATATGTAGCGAAATGTTTGATGTTACAGAATAGCTCAGTACCCACTGAACATTCCTGGTGAACTTTTATAAAATTGTTTTTTCAAGCCTAAGTACCTTTTCACCTTTCTAAACCAGAATCCCCAGTTCTCTGTCGCGGCGACATCAAACAAGTCGGCATCGTGTGTGATTAATTAACGGTAATTAAGTAAGCCGTTAATCTTGATAATAAGGTGGAGATAAAATATAGTTTGTGGTTGGAATCTTACAACCGTGACCATGATTTAACTGTCTTATCAAAAATTGGGGAGTTATAAATCTAGTAGAGATTTAGTTCATTTAAAGAAAAAACTGTAAAAATAGTAGAATCTGGTAGATTTGTATAGCAAAAAAAAATATTTCTTTAAAAAGTATCGAAGAGGCGGTGTAGGTAATCATATAAAAAGTCCGGCGGGTGAAAGTCGAGAACTACTTTTAATACACTTTAAATATCAGTAAATAATTTATCAACTTCATTCAAAAACTTGTTTTAGATGATGTTTAAACAAAACAGATCCGTCTTTAGTGACGTTAATAGCCCGTATCATTTTGGCCATAAAATTCAGTGCTGAAGTTTAAAGACGCAGACTATATGGAATATCTTATCTAACATTAATAATACACATTCTTTCCAAGAACATACCTATCCCATTGCATTACAAAGTAGGTAATTATTCTTTTGAAGTATGATGCGTCTAAAAATCAGTCTTTTAATCATCACTTCTGTTTATTTTCAAAAGATTACACTAAGCTGTAAGAAAACAATACGAGATAGTAGGCAAAAAAATGAGAACTATATATTGTGTTTTATTGCGCGGCATGCACTTAGAATTACGTCGCAAACATCCTTATTCATCGACAGCTATCGCATTAACAACTTTGGTTTTTTTTATTTTGTTTTAAAAACACATATTACTGTATGGCTGTATTTTCTGCGTTCGATACATTCGCTGCTGTTATAACACGTTTTTTACAAAAATGTCTGTCCACCTGTCCGTCTTTTCACGTTAGAATATGACCTATGTTAGCTTATTAAAAAGAATATCCCCATCATGATTTGGTAGATCAAATATTATCTGTTACAGACTCAACCGGCATTGGGTTTAGGGAGTGCATTTTCAACTGACTTCTAATGGTTACACTTAGATGTCGATACGTGCCAAGTACCTACGATTATAATTATTATCTTTTATTAGTATTATCTACTATCCCTATTTTTTATTATAATAACAATAAAGATAATTGTTGTTGTTATTATTATTGTTATAAATGCAATACATTCTTAAAGGCTATATGAAAATAAGATACATTTTAGTCTTCTTTTAAACTTTTTTTATTAATATTTTAACTTCTTTCAATAAATCTTAACATCATCATATTATTTATTTATTTATTTATTTATATATTTATTTAAAGGAGCCCCACTGATGTCCAAAAGCCCAAATATAAAATTTAAATTTTAAACATAGATCAAGTGAAGCAAAAAATTAAAATGGGACAAAATAGAAATGTACTTAGAATTAACTTGAATATCTATTCAAGTTGAAGTTCTCGGTTTAGACCTATATCAAATGGTACTAAAATCTGGGGGAAATATTTTCAGTCCGGTCATGTAAAAAAACCGAGTCCCTTTAATAAATAAGTAAAAACGTCGATGTAAGAGCTAAACCAAAGCATCATTGTACATCTAGATTGTTTGGCAGAAAAGCATGACTTGTACTAACTTTGATTTAGAAATGATATAAGTATATCATTAATCTTTTCTTTTCGTATTGATCAGTAATTCCTTCATGTTCTAATAAAAGGAGAAGTGCACGATGTTCACGCACTTGTTAAATCCGCCTGAACTTATTTATTACGCAACACGCGAAATACGTGTTAAAAGTATTCAGATATGACTTAAATATACAGATATAATATAAAGCTGTAAAATATTAAAACAAATAGTTTGTTATCGATCACGCCAAGTGATATCAAAGAAAATACAGATATTATATAAAAGGTGCGCTCTAATAATATTTTAACAATTTTGATGAAATAATCATTGGTTTTTATAAACCCTTTGATCATCTCGTTTAATCTAAAATGTTTCCCGTGTACTGTTATGTTTTAACACAGTATTTGTTTTAAAACTTCGGTATAAACATCATTAAAGCGAGACTTCAAACGGGGTTTATCATAAACATAAGATGCTCACAATCGCGCTTTTTTTTCTGTTCGATTCGTGATTAATGTATGTTGTATATTAAAGACGTATGGTTTTAAATAAAGAGAGGGAACAAACCAATCGGCGTTCGCACTGACCTCTAGATGTATCTCTGACTAACAGGTCAGCAATTTCAAGAGGAAGAGTTGTTAGTGCAATACTTGATTGAAATTGAATATTTTGTTAAAATATTGTAAAATACTTCCTTTGTCTAAACAATCAATTATTATATTTTTGAGACTGGAATATTTTATTTCGGTTGAAGTGAAAACAATATCTACAGCATGATCATGTTTACGCCTGAAAGTAATTTATACCGCTGGATGGCTGATATTTTATCAAGGATCTCAACTCACTCCGCCCCTGGAGTTTGAAAAGTTATGGGGCGGTAAGGGTGGGGGGAGTATACTGACCTAATATTCGCATGTTCCGATATTTTGCATTACTCATTATTTTCACAGACGATAAATGGCTAAGAATGTGTATCATCTCTCTTTCTCCGCCGCTTATTCTAATATAATCATGTGAGGAAGTTGGCAGCGGGTTGCGGGATATAGTAATTATTAGGCTATTGTTCGCTGGTACATGACAGAAATACTTAAGCAAAATGATACTTAGGAAATCGAATATACATGTACTCCAAATAGGCTAGTCTACTGGCTTTCCCGAACAAAATTTCTAAAGAAATTCTGACAGATTGTAGCCTGTAGATTCTAGAAACACAAAGTTCCGAAAAAGTTCATTAAACTTCAAACACTTCCATTGATAGTTGAAGGATAGTTTTAGCAATCCAAACGATTTTTGGGATTGTGAATCTTAGTAATTATCAACTATCAAATAAATGAGATATTTTTTACATATTAATAGATCTCGAAATGTTTTATTTTTATATTTATTCTATGGTTACATTGATTGCCAAAAAAATGTAATAATCCGGTAATCTTTCGTGATATTATTTTTGCAGCATATCTTGATCACCAAACATGCAAACCAATTCGAATTTAGAAATTATCTAACATTATCGCTCTTTTAATTAAACCTTTAATAAAGAAGCACGACCCATATGACCTTATATCTGCAATTAAATAGGCTTAAAAGTGATTCGTTTTTTGGATTAAATGATTTACCCATGACTTATGGATATAAAATATTTTCATACTTCAATCTTTTTACAGATGAACTAGAGATATGATAAAGGGTAGAAAATTCCTCTAAACATAGAAGAGAAAGTACTATCATCAATGTAACATTTTGATTGACAATATCTTAAAGATATCCAATCTCGACATTTAACCCATATTTAAGTGCGGTCAACATTATTTCAACATGGCGTACTTCTTTAAAAGAGTTGGGTAGACCGATTAAATCTATTTCAAGATTTAGAAAGTAACTTTGTGAACTGTAATAATTGCTTTTAAATAAACAGAGATCGGTCTGGTTTATTTGTGTATAAAAAGTATATAAAATATTTATATGGTGACATCAATGAAAAAAAATACGTTCCTAGTATGTAACAGATTAAATTATTATGATATATTTAAGGGTTATTCAGTTATATTTACTGCTATGATATCTAGTATTAAAAATGTTTTCACTGTGGTTGATGCACGATAATATGATATTGTATTAATTAAGAACATGAATTGATTGATTCATTCATTATTTGTTTAATTGTTTGATTAATTGTTTGATAAATTGTATGTTGATTGATTGATTAATTGATTGATTGATTGATTGCTTGCTTGCTTGCCTGCTTGATTGATTCCCTTTTCTTTCTTATTTTCTTTCTTTTCTTTCTTTCTTTCTTTCTTTCTTTCTTTCTTTCTTTTGTTCGTACGTTCGTTCATTCGTTTCGTTCGTTCGTTTCTTGTTCTTTCGTTGAAACAGTTCATGTAAATCTTTTTTTTTTATTTTTCAGAAAATTAGTATGGGGTCCATATATTTTTGTCCTAGAGCAATGTTTTCCGTTCAAAAATTTCGGAAAATTTACTTACGCTGTGCGTTTTCAAGATGTATATTCTTTTTTATGCATTAAGGTACGAAGCGATAACATTTTCATCTCATTATATTAGAGTCTAGGTCCGATCCTGTAGTCTTAAAATGTAGAATTAAGAGTATCGGTTCAGAATTGTATATATCGTTAAAGTGCATGAAATAAAATGACAAATTTCAAGGACAAAAAGAAAAAATAATGCAGTACTATGTCATATTTATCCTCATTCCTTTCTGTATTATGTTCGCTGCTTACGGAACGTCGGTGGATATACAGCAGGTGCCCGCTCGTGCCGGAAATAATGAACGACAGGACACCTAAGGTGTTTATCTACTACAGTAACTGTCAAGCCGGAAATTGTGACTATGGTAGCTGATTTAGAACACTTTTGTGCGTCGTGTTGTCGCTAGCGACAGCATGACAAAGCGTCAAACGGCGTGTTGTCGGACTTTCGTCTTGTCGCCAAAGGG